ACGAGGAGCCCTCCACTGTAGGCTTCTTTCATGGATTGTGCCCACAATGATCCCATTACCTTGAGTATCCGGTTTAACTGCTCATCTGATACTATGTGGTTTGGTATTCCTATAGGTGTGTTTGTTGCTTTTCTGGTACTTTCCCCTTCTGGTGGCCACAGGCGCAGCCTGTCTCGAGCGAGGCAGTGCAGGTGAAGTGGGGAAGGGTTTGGTGTAAGATTTGCACAGTAGGCTTGGGGAGTTATTGCTGATACATTTGTTCTCAGTAGTGATGCTCCAATCTGGGGAGCTCTTTGGGTGTCATTTGTCACAGAGGGTGTTGTTGATGAGGGTGTCTTCCTTGAATCATTCAGTGGCTGCTCTCTTGGTGGCTTGTTGGCAAACAAGGGCACGGTTAATGAGTTTAGTGGCTGGGGCAGAGTAGTTTCCTTCACACAAGTGATGGATTTCGGCTGGGGATAGAGGTTCAGTTGCATCAATGATGAAAGGGCTAATGTCGGCTGGAATGGGGATTGCAGGAAGAAGAAGTTCTGCTGGGCCATGAATGCCTCTAGAAGGTCTGTCTGCTGGGTTGGATTCACTGGTAACATAGGTTGTAACAACTTCAAAACAGTGGGGTAGGTTGTGTATAAACTTGTGGATCTGCCGGAATACAATGTTAACTTCTGTGTCTCGGTGACAGTTCTTCCACCACCCTTTGACAACTCCGGTATTATCTCCATGGGCGAGGATGCGGCTGCTAGGGCTAGGCAGAGAGGCAAGAGTGTATATGAGGAGCCCAAAGCCCACTGCCTCTGCCCATCTGATGTCTCATTTTCCATGAAGAGTTTTCCACCCTGGTATGAGTCACCATGCATGCCAACGCTCTCCAATGACAATTCCTATTCTGATTCTGGAATTTGCATCTGAGAAAGCTTCTGGGTTTGTGGGACTGTAGGATATATTGGTCTAGCAACACCACCCAATTGAAGTAGCAGTGACCACCAATCTAGTTTGTTGGCAATGTTTTTTGATGCTCTGTGAGGCAGGAAAGGATTCATGCCACACGATGCCAACATTCCTTCAAGTCCTGTTAAGTACGCTTGGCCTCGGGGAGCAGCTGTGCATGTGTGAAGCAATTTCCTGTATAGTTCCTGTATATCTTTTAAAATGTGTGTTAGGTGTTTCCTCCATTTGTGAATAGCTGCAAGGTATTTGTCTATTTTTGCGACACTTAGAGCAATGTACATCATTTTTAAGTCCCAGAGAAAGCCAATGTAGACAGTTGTCATTCCAAATGGTTGATCTTTCAGCAGTTCCCAAATGATACCTAATTTGTGGGATAGGTCATCGACATCTTCCAGGCAGAAAGTGAAAAGTTTGTCGTGTTCAGACCGCAGCGTGGATTTTGATAGATCCTTAAGGGGGTGGATGCAGTTCTCACTGAATTCTTCTAACTGTCTACTGATTGGACATTGGTCTCCATACCATAGCCTACTTCCTGATTGATCTAGTCCGGCTTTGGTGAACACTTGGTGCCAAGCGAGTCTCTGTTCACTGTACATAGCTAGGTGTTCTCAACGTATTTGGAAGAAACTGTGGTCATTGACCCATTTGTCAAGGGGACTGATACCTCAGTAGCGACAAATTTCTGCTCCTGCATCGGCCATGTGTCCATAGACATCTGCTGATGGTGTGGCTCTGAAGGCTGTGCAGGTGTCTACACAGAATTGTGTATCCGAAATTCTGACTATTCCAGCAGGCCATTGGGATGGGTGTAGAGGTACCATGTGGTAAGCTTCAGCTATGTCCCTCATCACTGCTTCTGAACCTGGGGGAAGTCTTGAGATTAAATGGTAGATCGTCAAGAATTTTCCCCAGGTTGTGGGGACATTATCTGCATTGATGTAAGAATTCACTGAAGGGTTGGGACAGGACACATTGGTTTCATGCGGGAACGAGAAGTTTTGCACAATTCTGAACTTCCCCAGTGTAGAGACTCATGCATCTCAATGCCAATCTCGCGCGCGCCTTACCTGCGCTTGCACCATGCACACTTCGTGTGCACGTTCGTGTGCCTCCTTTTAGGTCTTTGCGCTACTGTCCGTCCATTCATCCCATGTCCTTGCTGATTTGCTGGTGCATTATTCTTATCTCTTTCACTGAACTAACAAAATCTTCGGTCTGACATCCACATTTACATATAGAAAGTCTGTTTAAACTTAGTTATATTTAGAGTTGATATGGTTACTCAGTTTGGGAGCATGCTTGGAAGCGCGCTGCATAGCGCCATCTCCCTTCTTAAATACAGAGGGGATTCTTTTGGTTCTGGTACTTACTTTTCCCTTATCTCAGGATACTGAAAAGTGTATAGTTCACCTCCTCACTTGAAATCAGATCATATTCTCCTATCAACTATCATCTGTGCATCCACTCTTCATTAAGGATCTTTTCCTTAACGCCCTGAACGCGCCTTCACTTCGCGCACACGCATACTCGAACCTCTCGCTCACGTGCGCATCTCGCGCGCGTTACCTTCTCGCACCTGCCAGTGCCTGCCTAGCTCATAGAGTTTCCCTCCATTTTAATTCCAAGGAACTTCTCTCAGTGGTTGTCCTTTGGGTCGAGTTGTTATCTTGTATCCTGGTCTTGCTGTAGAGCACCCAATAGTTTCAAGTGTTTTCACCTATAGTCAAGATTCCTCATCTACACTGGTTTGCCCAGCTTAGGGATGATTGACAGGGGAGATGATTGGAAGGGTCCTATCAATGATTCTAGAACATCTGCTGTGAAAGGTCCTATGTATCTCCCTTTGACTAGTTCCTTTTGGATGATATTATCAAACTTGGATGCATACTTGATAATAGAAACTTTATTCAGGGGGGTCTGTACAGCTGAAATAGAAGGGAAGTCTATGATAAAACCTGATCGGAAGCCAACTGGTATTTTAGCAATATGTTCAAGGATTCCAGCATTCTGAAGTTCACGTTCCCAGGCATCAGCCTTGTATGGCATCAGTGGGTGAAGCTTTCTGTGAGCAAGGGCACTTCTGGGCTCCGTGCAAAGCTGCTCCACATCCTGAGCAAATGTGCCTTGCATCATGCCTAGGGGCAGTGCAGCCATCTTCTCTTTGCCATGCGGTACATAATTGCTTGCCATCTTTGGACCACAGCACTTTGCGTATACGTTCCATGAAAGTGTTGTGCTGTTTGTCCCAGGTTTGGGTAGCAGTGCAGTCAATGGTACGATGGGGGTTGCATCCAAGGCAAGCTGCACAACATGGGAGGGGGCCCAAGGGAGTAGGAGCATGGGTGGTGCGTACCTTCTTGTTACTCCCTGATACCTCCTCTGTTGTTGGGAATGGGCGCTTTGGAGGGGCCACGCTAGGTTGTTGCTGGCACAGCAACTCAAAATTGTTTGTCATATAGGCCACCACTGCTTGCTATGGTTGTGAATATCGACGGTGTGATGATCACAGCGGAGTCAAGCAGGGGACAGGTCGTGTTTGACCATTGCATGGCACATGATTGGCCCATGGAGGGGAAGGTCACATTTGACTGTTGTGTGGCACGTTGTAGAAGAGGAATGGGAAGTGGGTAAATATAGGTGGTATGAGATAACTCAAGTTGTCCTCAGTGAGCGAGATATACGTCGGCCCAAGGGGATTGCTACTGAGAAGGTTCCTCTAAGTGTATAAAATGGAGGGAAACACTGAACTGGGCACTTGATCAAGCCTGGTAAGGCACGTGACGATGAGCAAAGCGCGAGCGAGCGAAAGCGATGTGGAGCGCCAATGAGCGATAGCAGCCGACGATAGATATTGACGCACGACTTATAACGGAAGCGCGCGCTTAAGCAGAAGCGGTGCGTGTGCGGGTGGTGGAGCGCAGCGACTCTTAATGAGTCAGAATACTAATGGACAGAGTTTCTAGTAATGTACAGTGGCGGCGCTCGTATTGTACTTAGATACTTTAGATTTTTAGAGGATAACTTAGACTTATAGTCCAACAATGTGTGGGCAGAAAAAGATAGTCATTACACAGTTTATGCGTGTCTATATATACTAAGTAATGTTAAGCGCTGTCAAGCGCTAAAGCGAACCGAGAAGCAAAGCGGACACGAGATAATATGTAATAAGGGTCCATAACGGAAAACATACAAAACATGGCCATAAGCACCGGAGATATGTCAGAATTAATGAAAATAGAATTGGAATACACACCGACGAACCGAACGGACATGGAATGGATGGACGGAGGACATGCAACGGAACCGAGGATGCGCGTTGAAGGTACAACAGTTCAGATGGTGAGTCTGAACAATGTTGGGTCTTGCAGAACCTAGCTGCTATTCAACCCTAAAGGGTTTCTGGACCAGACTCAAGGCTCAGAGGAGAGGAAATATCATAGAAAACTACTGAGCACTCAGACTCATACTGGTAACTGGTGAAAAGATTGCTTGCTTATGTAAGCTACAAAAGTGCCAACATAAGGTAAGGTAAAAACAGTCTCTACAAGCCCAGCCAGAAATGAATCCCTACAGCATGCCGATGCACGACTAAGGAGCGACCGGAGCACTGGCGCTTGCGAGCGGCCGACGAAGCGCTTGAGCGCGCTGTGTGAGATATGAGTCGCGCTATGTCAGGAAGTGATAGTAACAATGGGATTTTAGATCCCTGCAAGGCCACAGGGATATTAGTCTCTACAACGTGATTGGCCCATGGGGGGAAGGTTGTGTTTGACTGTTGTGGGCACATGATTGGCCGATGTTTGGGGGGTGTAGGATGTGGTGTCAAGAATGTGATTGTTCAACCACATCAAACAGAGGGGACATTGGCGTGTGATGGCCAACATATAGGAAACAAAGCGAGTGACTACACAGAGTTAATTGGGTGCACGAAGGCAGGTATTGTATAGTAGTGAAATGATTAGTGGCTTGTAGGATTATTTGACCAAGACTTCAGTACTGACCTGAATCGCCGCTACCGTTTGCTTTTCTTGTTGTTCGTTGAACAGTTCTTCTCAAGCTTCTAAGAGAAGATCTTGATTGATCTCCTCAAGGCTCCAGGTTAGCCCTGTGCCGATTGACAAATGCCATCTGCGGTGCTGCTGTGACTGATACAGTAGCAGCACACACTGCTTTAGTGGGTCGGAGGCATGGCACCAATGATGCTGCTGTAGAGCCGACCAAAACTGGATGAGCATGTTGACCCGTTCAACTAGCCAGTCATGAGTTCTCATATAGTTGATGATGCATGCCACTGCCTCATTGAATTCTTCCCAGGTAAGATTCTCATCCTTCATGACTGGAGATGCTTTGGGGTCTTTCACTGCATCGGCGGGGACCCATGAGTGAATGCCATCTGCAGAGGGTAGCATGACTAGCACATCTGGTTCTGCGATCTGGGCACTCTTGTTGGCATTGTCAAGGCCTTTATTGGTAAAGTAATGCAATTCGCAATAGTCCCCTGCTTTAATCTTTCTCGTAGCATATGGAGCTGGGAGAATGGTTGGTTCTGAAGGAACTTTTCCTCGAGCAAAAGGAGCGTACTTATTCTTGTTTTTCTTTCGCTCTTCTAGACAAGCTGCCTCTTCTTCGTCCTGAAGGACTTGAAGGTGTTGCTGTTTTTCCTCTTCTTCCTGCTGGCACATTTCTTGTATCTGTTCTTGTCTCTCATTACAATGCGCCTTGTTGGCATTGTTTTTCAGAGTCCATAAGGATTTGAGCATGTGAGTGGCTTGGTCTTCATTGAGCCCATCTGCTATTAGCTGCTGGCGAGCTGATTGGTGCTCTCTAGCATTGAAATCAGGCCTTATAGCTTCATGCGGATTCTTGAGGGCCATTTATGCAAGTGTGAACGATGCAAAAGAGAATGGTAAGTGCCTAGTACTTAGGACGAGAGAATACTGTGATGGTGGTGAGAGGCAGAAAGTGCTGCGCCACATTGCTTATTCACACACAGACTAATTCTAATCCAGCCGAGGCACAAGGCCGGCTTAGATAACCAAGACTGAAGGTGAGATATTCATTTCTAACTCTACTAGTATACATTCCTTTTCTTTAGGTTAGTTTGTAGCCCATTGCTCTACTAGCATGAGACTGAAGTATACATTCCTTTTCTTTTAGCCTTCCATTTGTTCCCACACATTGCTACTTCAAAACAAAAAGCTATATTGTCATATCTAGTGTTTCAAAGTCTAGTTTGGTCCAGTTTTTAGTCCATTTTTGGATACAACTGGACCTGGACCATTTTCCTATCATCACCACTTCATCATAGACTGGACCACAACCTTTAACAGTGGTGACACAAAAACAAAAAAATTATTGAAACCTCTTTTTATGATTTTTTCAACATTTTTCAAAAGTTATGTGTGCTTCCAGTGTTAAGACTTTGCGTAAGATAAATCGGTCTATATTTTAAACCCGCTCCACATATCCATTCTTCAAGAAATCCCGCACACAAGATCCATGATCTCTATATCTTGCGATCGAAAATCGTATATTGTGCTCTGTCATCATGAAGGAAGAATTGATTCTTCGACGACCCTGGACTCGACCTTTCTCTTCACAGTCACACTGCCGTCCTGCCATATTTTGACGTCAGACGTCAGAGATATAAATAGACAAGATACGCGTTCACTGACCTCGTTACCAAAGTATGCGGCCTGAGCCATATCGCAGAACAAACCAACTTCCACGACACCTGTGAGCATTTTGATTTTTGCCAAAATCTGCAGTAGTTGTAATCAGTACAAGCCTGAGGCAGTGGCACAATTTCTCGCACAGTGGAAGGGTTCTGCATAATCTCTCTGGGGAACGGTGCATCAATGACGAAATTGCTATTGTCAGTTACCACAGGACCGGCTTTGGCCTTTGCCATGCGCAGGGTAGCGTTGGGGGAACCCAAAATATCGCGCAATTTACGCAAAACTTGGGCGTATGCGAATGGCACGACTTCGACTGGAACGCCAGGAGTGAACTGCGAATGATGATTACGACATTCCTCACTTGGAAGACCAGGCACGCACGTTTGTCCCGAGGTACTCCGCGTTTTTGCGATAGTCGGCTACCACAATAAATCTACAGTTCACTGATAAGGGAACTGAGACATCAAATATGATTATGGACGTACGTATTCGCAGCCTCCGCGAGTACCTTTTCCCGCAAGTGACAGGCTCCGCCACCTTTAATACAGTTGAGGTCAAGGTCAACTCTGATGATGGTCAGACTTGACGACGTTTCTGAGGAATCGAAAAAACTCACTCGTCAGCACCATCTATAGTGACGTCGATGATAGGAAATTGGTCAACGTCGCCTAGGTTGAGGTTCGACATGACGATGAGTTCCTTGGACTGGAATCCAGTCGGAATGAACACCCGATCCTTGTTAAGTTCGCGCCCCTGTGCGACGATTCGCTCCACAACATAGGGCACAGTAGATCCTGAAAAGCGGTAAATAAGAGCCTATCCCAGCTGTAGTACGTGCAAACCAGATCCTATTCCGATAACCTTGCGGCAAAGAATAATAAGTTCCAAAAGACAAATGAAGATGAAGACGTGACTCACTTTATGTTCTGGGAGAATGTGTTTGTCCACAGCAGTGTATGCCGCTAATCGTTTGGACTGCTCAATGGCACTGAGTGTGGTGGTAGCTTTCATGGTGGTCAGCGTTCTAGTCGTCTTCTACGAACAAGATACACACCGATGGGAACAGCCAATACCGGCATGGTGACGGGGCGAGGGACGGGAGTTATTCTGGACCCATCAAAGTCAGCTCGGTTTTCAATCGATAAGCTTCAAGGGGTTCCGGGAAGCGATTCGGTGCGGCAACATGATGCGAAACATCAAGCTAGTCCCAAATCGTCCACTCAAAACCATCTTGGCTCCAAGTTGAACAACTTCCCGAGAAGTCGAAAACTGCGGGTCTAGTGGGTACACAGCAAAGTAGATCACTTACGGAGTCTGTGCGGACGCCAAGTGTGTTTTCGCTGAAGAGAATGGGCGATGGTGGTCGACAAATATTCGAAATGATGGAGCGCGCGAGGGGTAGCATAGGTACTTATGAGGATTGCATAGATATAAGGACATGCGTGTGCTCGATGGGTCTATTCTCGGTCAGACCGTAACGCTTGTGTTACTCACGCGCCCATCACCAACTTCACTGCTTTCAGTGCGTTTCACGGCAACGCTGAGAACAATTCTGTCTTCTTCTCATTGATTGCCATTGGCGTGTTCCACAGCTCGTTTCTGGGAAGTATCTCGCACATACTGGTAGCCTAGATTGTGGAGTTGCGTGGAAAGTCGTGAGCTCTGCCGTCACAGACTCGGAAGCGGTCGCTCAAACATGAGAGCCATTAAAGGTGCGTTCTTGTATTCAACCTCCTTTGAGGTAATTCACAATGCGCAGGGGTGCTTTTAACTTGGTTTGCAGTCATTTTCCGTCTTTCAAAGGAACCATAGACCGATCGTTGGCACTTACGCTTGCAGTGACTCCGCTGTTAAGCAAATACTACTCACGATGAACGAGAAGGATCCTTTCGTTATTGAGGATTTAGATGATTATCATCTAGTTATCAAGGCAGACGAGGAATACAGAGTGAGGAGGGAGCTCGAAGCTGAGGTATGAATTTTGATGTATCTGGAAATCTATCTCACAAGGAATTGTTGCAGTTGGAGAAGAACACATACAGTCTAGAAACAAACTAGTTTTTCACCCTCATTCTACAGCATAAGTACTTGCCCTGCTGTGGCCTTAGATCCGTCTGTGACGCTGCCCATAATCTATCGGATTGGGCTCGACGTTACGGTGGTGCTTTACCGGTTAAGATTTCCTCGAATGAAATACTCAAGGTGCGTCGTTTTTGTACTGAAATGCATATCATGGGGACCTGTGTCAGGTAGACGAAAGGAATTATATGACGGGCCTTATCCGTGTTCCGAGAAATTTACCCAACAGCTATCTTCCCCAGGGAGTTTCATTCAGTTGACATGTGAACAGTGGTCACAAACTTCTCCATCCATACGGTTCACCCATGCCGAATCACAAACGAAACTCTTTCCTTCATCCAGGTGAAACACGAATGTATATGTACGTAATCAGCTCTGGCAGCATCACCTTCTAACTGCTCGAACCTGGAAACGTGCGCTCTGCGACAAATAAACCATTCAGACACGATGAGGCGTGTCCAAGCGTGAAAGAATGCAGAAACCAGTGCAAAGAACTGGGCATTTTCTTACCCATATCTTGAATTAGCACTGCGTTACCAGGTATCCAAGGGCTGGCCATACGATTACTAGGCCGCCGAATTCATGCAAGAGAGTTGCTTGCTCTCAGAGGCAATGTCATCCCCAAAACGCACTAATGGCACCGCCACCCTGTTACAATGGCAATTAGAGAGGAGTACACGAGCAGAAGACTGAACCTAATGCGGACCAGAGTTCCCTTACGACCCGAAGTGAAAAGCGAATTGCGATATCATTCAGGCTGCTGTAAGGTGCCCTATAAGAACTATCATATAGACATGCAGGCCAGTTATCTACTTCCCATCATGTGGTATCAAGGTATGCTGACATGCGCTGATCTCACATGTTCATTTTGAGTGCATCAGTCTATATGTTGGTCACAGCCACTAGTGCCGGTGGTTCCTCGGCGCGGAAACCAGCGACAACGACGGAGTCTGCTCTGCCTTGGTCTACACTATTACCATGGTCATGTCAACGCGCACACTAACCCCATGCCGTTCACCACAACGCCACCGCCGCCTTAGGTCTAAAATATTGACATCGTTTGGGACCCGAGCACGCTGCACCGCTATAGACCAAACCCGGACCCGGGGTGCCCAACCCTAAGTTATGGAAGCAGCACCTGAAGTCTTCTAAACCTTCAAGTCAGCAGGCCTAGCCATTATCTAAATTTCGTTATGTAACGATGCTAATCAACATATCATATTTTTGAGTGAGCGGTGCATTTATGAATGTAATTTGCAAGTACAGCTGGCTGGCACTTCTATAAGGTTGAGTTAGGCACGAGTCTAGGTTTAGCGGCACTTTGGAATTGAGCATGCATCAACCAACCATTAGCTTGAGGCTAACGGTCATCGCCTGTTACTTCGGTTCTAACGTGAAATAAGATGAGCCGGTTGTCAATTCGCATCTGAGCCGATTTATTCCCAGATTAGGGGGCGATGATCATATCGCTATCAGACCACATCGATCACGTAACACGTTTCAATACTCACTGGTACTAGTACTTAAGTATATCTCTCCTTCAAATCGGCTCGCATCGCGTCTCTTTCTTCCCTCAACTTGGTTGCAGATTCAAAGGAACACATCATGGACACTGTCCCGGACATCTTGAAAGTGTCCATTCTCGGACGAGAGTCCATCCATTGCGGTTTCCACTTGATCCCATACATTGCACGTACAGTGCTCACCACACTTCCTGCATCTGTCTATGTCCTCGTAACAGACACAAATGTAGCCCAGTTCTACCTCTCTGCCTTCGAAAAAGCTTTCAGCGCAGAGATCAACAAGGTGCGTGTCCTTTCTATTCGCTCATTTCATCTATTTGTCTTGCATTCCAATCTGACTCCATCTTAGCTTTCTTCCGCCAAACCGCGTTTCCTCTCCCGTATTATCTTACCTGGAGAGACGACAAAGTCTCGTGAAGGAAAGGCCGATATCGAAGACTTTCTTCTTCTCGAGCGCTGCACTCGTGACACCGTCATCCTCGCTCTTGGTGGAGGTGTCATTGGTGATCTTGTTGGCTTTGTTGCTGCGACCTTGTGAGTGAACTCTATACGCTTCCTTCCGAGCTATCGCGTCATCGCTATCCATCTTTCTGCGCGATTCCCATACATCCTCGACTTTTCATATCCTTCCTGTAGTATGCTTGTCTCTGGTTAATACTAACCTTCTTGCAGCATGCGTGGTGTGCGATTTGTTCAGATCCCTACTACGCTTCTTGCAATGGTGGATTCTTCCGTGGGCGGAAAAACTGCCATCGACACCCCTGCTGGCAAGAACCTCATCGGCGCGTTCTGGCAGCCTGAATACATATTCATCGACGCTGCATTCCTCGAGACCCTTCCTGAGCGCGAGTTCAGCAATGGTATGGCTGAGGTTGTCAAGGTCCGCTTGTTCCTAGTTTCCTACAAGTTCACTTTATAACGTGCCCTTAAAGACCGCAGCGATATGGGATGAAACCGAATTTAATTCCCTCGAAAATAACGCTCAATTAATCTACAATGCTATTCGCACGCCTTCCACAGGCTCTGCAGGTCGTCACATTAGCACGCGCTCTACCTCTCAATCTCTCCTCCTCTCCGTCATCCGAGGTAGTATCTACGTCAAATCCCACATCGTCACCATCGATGAACGCGAGACCGGACTCCGTAACCTTGTTAACTTCGGACACACCATTGGCCATGCCATCGAAGCCGTTCTAACGCCACATATGCTCCACGGAGAATGCGTCAGTATCGGTATGATGTTCGAGGCGGAAGTCGCTCGGGGAATGGGCGTATTGAAGCAGGTGGCCGTCGGAAGACTCGTGAGGTGTCTGAGAGCATATGGGTTGCCCGTAAGCTTGGCAGATCAGAGAGTAAGCAGATGTCCTGGTGCTCGCGACCTTAGTGTCGACAGGCTCCTGGATATCATGCGCGTCGATAAGAAAAACTCCGGCCCTCAGAAAAAAGTGGTCATCCTCTCCCGCATTGGAGCCACATACGAGCAGAAAGCGACAGCCGTTGACGATGTAGTCATTGCCAAGGTCCTTTCGGAGGCTGTTACAGTCAAGGTTGATCTCAGTGCTACTTCGCTGGGAACACAACATGTCAAGATGGCGACACCGGGCAGCAAGAGTATCTCCAACCGCGCTCTAGTGCTGGCTGCGCTTGCGCAGGGCACATGCAGATTGAAGAACTTATTGCATTCGGATGATACACAAGTGATGATGGCGGCATTGCAAGAGCTCCAGGTCTTAATGTTTCATCTTCATTCATTATTGCTGTTGCTAACTCGCTTTGTATAGGGCGCTTCCTTCACGTGGGAAGATGGGGGTGAAACGCTGGTTGTCACAGGGGGCGCAGGAGCCCTTCAAGTCCCCAAAGCAGGACAGGAAATTTATCTAGGGAATGCAGGCACCGCTGCACGCTTCCTCACCACTGTCTGCACGCTCGTGTCTCCCTCCGCCGCTGCCAATGCCGGGACCACCACTGTCATCACAGGCAATGCTCGTATGAAACAGCGGCCTATTGGCCCTCTTGTAGATGCCCTGCGCGCCAATGGATCTGAAATTACCTATAACGAATCCGAGGGCTGCCTGCCACTAAGCATCGCGCCCAAAGGACTCCAAGGCGGCGTGATCCGTCTCGCAGCAAGCGTGTCGAGCCAGTACGTCAGCAGTATCCTTCTCTGCGCGCCGTATGCAAGGGAGGCGGTGACTCTCGAACTTGTGGGTGGCGCTGTTATCTCTCAGCCATACATCGACATGACAATCGCGATGATGCGCACATTTGGAGTGACTGTCACGCGCGACCCGGGAACCGACGTCTACCGAATTCCTCAGGGCACATACGTGAACCCTGCCCAATACGCCATTGAAAGCGACGCGAGTAGCGCAACGTACCCGCTTGCTATTGCTGCCATCACAGGGACAACATGCACGCTCGAGAACATCGGAAGCGGAAGTTTACAGGGTGATGCTCGTTTCGCCGTAGACGTGCTTGCACGCATGGGGTGCGAGGTGGTGCAGACTGCAAATGAGACGACCGTCACTGGTCCGAAGAGGGGCGAGCTGAAAGCGATTGGAGAAGTGGATATGGAGCCGATGACGGATGCGTTTTTGACAGCGTGTGCCCTTGCTGCCGTTGCGCAGGGCGGGGAGGGGAATACGACAAGGATCGTTGGGATTGCGAACCAGAGAGTGAAGGAGTGTAATCGCATCAAGGCAATGATTGATCAATTGGGTAGGTTCTTCGATTGCGTCTAATCGCTGCTCACTCTCATGACTGACTGAACATTCACAGCCAAATTCGGCGTGCAGACCAAAGAACTGGATGACGGACTCGAGGTGTACGGTCGCCCATTCAACACCCTCACCCGTGGCGCAAGTATACACTGCTATGATGATCACCGTGTCGCGATGGCGTTCAGCGTCTTAAGTACTATCGTACCCGACACAATCATCGAGGAGAAACGTTGCGTCGAAAAGACATGGCCCAACTGGTGGGATGATTTGGAGAACAAGGTATGATTCACATCTTTCTTCGCTCTCCCTCAAGCTTGGCCCTAACATGTACACCCAGATAGGCATCAAAGTTGGGGGCATCGAGCTCCCGCATGCTGAGAGTTCCACCGCTGCTACTTCTGGAACACCCTCCCCTGCAGCCTCTTCATCCGTGATCCTCGTTGGCATGCGCGGTTCAGGCAAGACACACGTCGGAACACTCGCGAGCGCTGCTCTCTCTCGCCCATTCATTGATGCAGACCATTTCTTCGAAGCCAAACACAACATTGGCGTACGCGAGTTCGTACATGCCAACGGGTGGCCTGCATTCCGTGCCGCAGAAACGGAGAACTTGAAGCAGATCATACAGGAGGCTGGAACAGGACACGTGATCAGCATGGGCGGTGGGATTGTGGAGGCGCCTGAAGCCAGGGATATTTTGAAGAACTATGGAAAGACGGGCCCGGTCGTGCATGTCCTGAGGGACATCGAGGAGATTGTGAGCTACCTTGGTGATGAAAACGCACGTCCTGCATACGGCGAGCCGATTACCGAGGTATTCAAACGACGGGAACCATGGTTTATTGAATGTGCCAATTACGATTTCATCAACCATATAACTGTTGACGGTGGCGAGGCAACCAACGCAGAGATCTCTCGTTTCTTCAAGCACATTACAGGCCAGCCGAACCTCGCAGGGAATGTTGCTGCTGGGAAGCGTAGCTACTTCTTGTCCCTTACATATCCCGATGTGGTACCCGCTTTGCGCCATATGCCAGACCTCACAACGGGCGTTGATGCTGTAGAGTTGCGTGTAGATCTACTACGCGCCCCTGACACACTCGGCTCCATCCCTTCGCAGGCTTACGTTTCCGCACAGGTCGCTTCACTACGCCGGGCGACAAGTCTCCCAATCATATTCACCGTGCGCACGATAGGCCAGGGCGGCACGTTCCCGGACAACTCGGAGAAAGACGCGTTCGAGCTCCTTGGGCTTGCGTTGCGACTTGGAGTGGAGTATGTTGATGTGGAGATCTCTGCATCTGAGAAGCTCATTACAGAACTCGCCGCTCGCAAGGGATTCTCCCAAATCATCGCATCGTGGCACGACTGGAGTGGAAAGATGAAGTGGAACGAAGATGTCGTGAGAAGCAAGTACACGCTTGCGAGCCGACTCGGAGACATTGTGAAGATCGTCGGAAAGGCGGACACTTTGCAGGACAACTTTGCGTTGCATGATTTCGTTGCGAGGGCTAACCTGCAGCGGGGCGCAAAACCGATCATTGCGATCAACATGGGCGTGGAGGGTCAGATGTCACGTATACTGAATGCGACTTTGAGCCCCGTGACGCACCCTCTTCTCCCCTCGAAGGCAGCACCTGGCCAGCTTTCCTTTGCACAGATCCAGAAGGCGCTGAACCTGCTGGGCCAGCTTCCTGCGAGACGCCACTTCTTATTTGGAAATCCCATAGCTCATTCCATGTCTCCGACTCTTCACAACGCTGGATTTGAGGTCCTGGGGCTTCCCCACACTTATGAGCTTCTCGAGACAGCTAATGTTGGTGAAGAAATCAAAGCCACCTTAGCTGCTCCTGACTTTGGAGGCGCCTCCGTTACCATTCCCTTCAAACTCGACGTCATACCTCTGCTTGACAAGCTTTCGCCAGCCGCTGAAGCTATCGGGGCTGTGAACACCATTATACCCGCCATCGAAGGAGGAAACCGCATCCTCCGCGGTGACAACACCGACTGGCTCGGCATTCGTGAATCCATTCGCTCTCGTGCGCCATCCATCGGCGCGCCTACTGCCGCCCTCGTTATCGGCGCAGGAGGGACTGCAAGAGCCGCCATTTTTGCGCTACAGTCCTTGGGGGCTCAGCGCATCTACCTGTTCAACCGAACTGCAAGCAAGGCGCAAGTGCTCGTCGAAGCGTTCCCTGACGCCCCCGTCAAGCTGATCGAGACGCTTGATGTCTGGCCTGCTGAGGGACCTGCACCAACTGTCATCGTATCCACCGTCCCAGCAAGTGCGACAACTACCGACAGCACTAACCCAGGTGCCGTACTCCTTCCGCTGGCGTTGTTTGACGCGACCGTGAACGGCGTGGTCGTGGACATGGCATACAAACCCGCAGAGACACCTCTTCTCACGCTCGCGAAGAGTGCAGCTCCCAATTGGGCGAGGGTTATGGGGGTTGAGGTGCTTCTGGAACAGGGTTATGCGCAATTTGAAACTTGGACGGGACAGAGATGTCCGAAGCATGTCGTGTCGAAAACTGTGTTGGAGAAATATTTTGCAGCTGCCTAGGTGGATCTATGTCTGGATTTGGATGTTAAAAGGTTGTTGATTAGCTTGGTATTAATATATGTATGTTGTACGATCTAGATGGCTATTGATGCACTTTATTTCAAAGTTCCGGACTCTCTACTACACAGGAGGGAGGGCATTTATCTTCGACCAATCCAGGGTAGAACACTCCTGCATCGTCCCTTCTCCCTTTCCCTCCCGTTTCATTCTCTGTTGAGCCTCCGATATCATCAACTCCAAAACGACTGTCTTCTTTCTTTGTGTCCTGGCTAGGGGAGACTAGATTAACTCACTACATTTCTCCTCTATCAGTATGTTTTGTAGACACTCGCTTCTTTTTGCTACGCTGCCTATCATCCTAGTCGTGCCCGTCGTACCCGAGGTCCTTTCTGGTGCAAAGGTACAATGCGTAAATGAATAAATGACAAATAAGTTATACCTACCTCGGACCTCCAGTGCCTGGGCCGTCATACCAAGCATATATTATGAAGTCGGTCTTCAGCTCCTCGCGCTTCTTGTCCTCTTCTAGGAGATCACGTTGAAAGTTTGTGTCAAGTTCTCCTCGTTCCCGTCGCTCAACTGAGTGGTACATTGGCATCTGAGTGAATATAATACTGCTGATGATCGTGAATACTCACAAGAACGTTTTGAGATGGCTCCAGGCATGGGTGACGCTGCAACAAGAATGACGAAAGATGATATAAGTGCGCTCAGGAATACAGAAAGCTGCATGTTTAGGGATAAGAGGAGGCGACTATTCGTTCGGATGAGGATTTTTTATACATTCTCAGGGGTCCGCTCGATTTTAGCCCCTTCCACTGACGAAGAGAGAAAACAGCCGTGATGAGTTGCGTGGCAATCGCCTAGTGATTGATGCAAATGAGTCCGCCGCGGCGGAAGCTTCAAAAAAGCCGCCACGTCGTAACGCATGCATGGATGAAAATCCAAACATGTTGTCATGATTGCCAGCATCTTTTGCAGTCATCAAGTGGAGTTTAGTCTCGCCAATCTACAATTTCCAAGTCCGAAAAATAAGCATGAAAAAGTGAACTCGTGATTTACTGATGACTGACTGGAAGGATAAATCGTGCGCGTGATGGCCAAAGGTTATATACTTAAGTCTCCACACCTTGTCGGAGCGCTACTGGTGAACATGACATAGGGTTTGCCACAGGTCTCCGAGCAGGATACTTGGAATGGCAGCATGCTAGTGAGCGACGTTTGAGATTCTTCGGAGCACCACGTCAGCCATGCGTTTGAGAATAGTAAGATCTGTACATCATCTCGTTCTACAGCAAGCTCACATCGGGTGAGAATTTATCGAGACCACCATAATTATGAAGGAAGTTAGCAGGCGATGGCGCACACCAATCGACGATAACCATTGAGTTTAGTGGCCTTGGGAAACAGAATCATCCAGGAGCAAGTGTCTGGGAAGCGTTTCTGCTGCGTCATTCTTGTCCTCTGGCCTAGATTTGTAAGCTTCTCTGACATTCTGGATCACATAAACCTACATCTCGCTCGTTTCATCTCTATGATGATGCGGCAGTTATTCTGAGCTTCTCGAGACAACCGACGTTGGTGAAGAAATCAAAGCCACCTTGGCTGCTCCTGACTTTGGGGGCGCCTCTGTTACCATTCCCTTCAAACTCAACGTCATACCCCTGCTTGGCAAGCTTTCGCCAGCCGCTGAAGCTATCGGGGCCGTGTGGGGGCTCAACGCATCTACCTGTTCAACCGAACTGCAAGCAAGTCACAAGTGCTCGTCGAAGCGTTCCCTGACGCCCCCGTCAAGCTGATCGAGATGTTTGATGTCTGGCCTGCTGAGGAGCCTGCACCAACTGTCATCGTATCCACCGTCTCAGCAAGTGCGACAACTACCGACAGCACTAACCCAGGTGTCGTACTCCTTCCGTTAGCGTTGTTTGACGCGACCGTGAACGGCGTGGTCGTGGACATGGCATACAAACCCGCAGAGACACCTCTTCTCACGTTCGCGAAGGGTGCAGCTCTCAATTGGGCAAGGGTTATGGAGGTTGAGGTGCTCCTGGAGCAGAGTTGTGCGCAATTTGAAACTTGGATGGGACGCAGATGCCCGAAGCTTGTCGTATCGAAGAGTGTGTTGGAGACATATTTTGCAGCTGCCTAGGTGGATTTGTGTCTGTATCTGGTTGTTAAAAGGTTGTTGATTAGCTTGGTATTAATGTATGTATTGTAAGGCTTTCGAAGGAGAAAGTGAACGAAGATAAGTTAGATAAAAGATGAGTGCAAAGATAATCGAGACGAGTGAGAGAAGGCTTGAGACGGAGACTTTCTGTGAGGTTTTCGGGATCACGTTGAAAGTTCCTGTCAAGTTCCTGTCGCTCAACTGAGTGGCACATTGGCATCTGAGTGAATATGATGATGATCGTGGATGCATGTTTACTAGGGATAAGAGGAGTGACTACTCATTCGGATGAGGACTTTTTATACATTCTCGGGGGTCCGCTCGATTTCAGCCTCTTCCACCGACTAAGATCGCACACATGTCCAAAACGTGGTGAGCAGATCTCAGCCACGGGTGTAGCACCGTAGCGATACAGCATGCAATATCTGACATGGAGCCGAGACACAATGACAGATAAACAGATTCGAGAAAACAGCTGTGATGAGTTGCGTGGCAATTGCCCAGTAACTCATACAAATGAGTCCGCAGCAGAAGCTTCATTGTCATCAGTAGGTAATGTTTTGTAATGTGTGAGGAGCCGCCACGTCGTAAACCCATGCATAGATAAAAATTCAAACATGTTGTCATGACTCCCAGCGTACTTTGTAGCCATCAAGGGGAGTTTAGTTTTGCAAATCTACAATGGAAGAATAAATCATCATGACCGAAGGTTAGGTACTTAGTCACCCCACCTTGTCAGAGCGTTACTGGTGAATATGTCATATTTGCCGCAAGTCTCCGACCAGGACACTTGGAATGGCATCACACTAATGAGCGATGCTTGAGATTCTTCGGAGTACTACGTCAGCCATACGGTTTAGAATAGCAAGATCTGCATAAGTTATGTGATCGTCTCGTTCTACGGCAAGCTCACATGAGTCGAACGAACCTAGGAACAAAAAAAAGATAACTAGTAACCCTAAAACATCTTGCGTACTCACACTGTTGATGACTCTGCTGTGAACCCCATGCCAGGAACCATCATGGTACGCCTCGGATACTGAGAATTCGTGGCCGCCGACAGAATGTGTTAAGATGTAAGTTCGTTGCCAACAATGTTTAACAATGATTTTCGACTTACTTAGTACATAAGTTTATAACGCGAAAGGCCGCACGCGGCAGAGCCCGCTACGGTCCTTTTTTTCGAGTCATCAACATGAATTGCTTGCAATACAGACCAGCGCAGATGAATCGTACAGACGAAAATACAAGTATTGTACAAATCAATCGAGATGCCGAGATGCGAGAAGATCAGCGCAGACGAATCGTACAGACAAAAATATAAGTATCGTACAAATCAACCGAGATGCCGAGTCGCGAGAATCAGGCAAGCGATACGAATAGGCGAGTGCTATACAAATAAACGGACTTTGGAGATCACATATCTTCAATCGAGTCGTGAAACGGAGGAGGCGGTCAGTCCACTTTCTCTTTCTCTTTTCCTTTCCCTCCCTTGTGCCTTTGTCCGTCTGCGTGCTTACTTTTTTTGGCGGGGTTCATCGCCACGTCGAACGTGGAAAATCCCGCGATGGCTGAGTCGTCTTTCGACAAGTCAACGGACGTCGTGGAAAGGATGGGAATAAAACGTTCTTCCACAGGTTCATCGGAGGGATCCAGCACTTTCATGGCCTGCATGCCGAGCTGAAAAGTCTGCAAATTTCCGTTAGAGGATGTTTTTAACTAAATTGACTGGTGCGCACGCTGGTCGGCTGTCCGTTTTGTATCATATTGTACATGTGCGCATCACAGACAGCGAGAACGAGTGTCCCGGGTCTTAGTTTTGAGTACGTCTCGTGCATAGGGATGAGCTTGAGTCCGTTTTCGGTCGTGTCGTAGAGGTTCAGTTGCTTAAGTTTGTTTTGTTGCAGTTGAAAATACGTTCCACGGTAGTCTGGAAGGATCCGTGGGTCGTATAAAGCACCTGGAGTGACTATTTAGAGCATGAGCGCAGGTTTAGAGGGAGTGTGAAGATCAAGAATACCTTCGTCTGCTGTAGGTGTTGGCACAGTCATATTGGCGCTCGAACTTGCCATAGAGGTCCTGGACACCGCCGTGCTACGCTGTCCTACCATACTGTCTTCGCTCGTGATTTTGCGCTTGGTTCGTCGAGGTGTGGTGTCATGACTGGCATTTTTACCTTCTGGCTTCTGTAAGAGATGGTTGGTGGGCGTTAAAATGGCACGATTTGGTTTGTCACTTACCTCGTAGATGCATTGGGATGTTAACATGATAAGGTCTGCATATTGCAAGTCATTGGCGCTCTTGGCGATACACACGTTTATCTTTGAGCCCTGTGGGACTGTCAGTTGTAATGTAACATATTGATCGGAACTGACCATTGCTGCTCTCTTCTTCTCTTCGGTGATCCAGTCTTCGATGGATGTTAGTTGATTTTCCCAGATATCCGCTAGGTTAGGTGAACACATGGTGGGCTTGGAAAGCGCCCATTTCCATTTGACGGTGTCCGAGTCGCCGAGCGGTATGTTCTTTATTTGTCTGTCAGATTATGATCATGAACTGGCAGGGGACATACGTGCCTTTTTGGTGAAATGTGTTCCTTTCGCCGAATGCTTTGTGCCGCACGTTGAGGTCGCGATTTGACCTACGATGTTGGTCCTAAAGGGGCGACCAGTCTTTCGTGTTTACATACGACCAATTCGTCCCACTGTAGTTATCTTGGACTGGTGGTGGTCCAATCGATGCCGAAATCAGCTTCGCCTAAGCCGTCTTTGCCCAGGTTGGTAATGGCTTCAGAGACACGATCATATATACCATTGGCGACACGTTGCGAGAAACACCTGACTTCAGTATCAGGTGTGGTCATAGTGGTGGATCGAATGATAGAATTTTTAGGGGCTCGAAGAGCATCGAACTTGTCTTTCAATCAATGGAGTTCCCAATTACAAGGGTATGACGTACAGTAAGATCGGTCGTTGACAAATGCTCATGTCGTCGCTGACAAATATCGATTTTGTCGGTGGTCAGGAAGAGGTATGAAGGGATAAGGTAGTCAGATGTAGGTCTCTTGGCATTGGTCACGTCAGGGACAGCAGGCGGTCTTTCTAGACCAAGACCCAAATTGAAGGCTCGAGCTATCTCCGTAAGCAGAAGCTCGTGTGCATCGCGAGGACTGGATCTATTCGTGCCCTTATCAACATCAGGCGTTCCCATCCCAGGTGTGCGTAGACCAAGACGATGAAGTAAGCTGCTCCAGACATGACGTATCTGTCCAGTATTACCTGTTGGCGTAGGTGATAGAGGCTGATCTGACACAGATAAGGGCGCAAGTCTAGAAGAAAAAATAGGCTCGGAAGTCCCTGTGAGGAAAGAAACAGCTGTTGCAGCTGCTGCGACACTGCGATTAAAAAGAAGTCAGCATCATTGTACGCAATACATACGAATTAGCCAAATAGTACGACGGGGTGGAGTATAATGTAGACAAGTTATGGAGTGAATATAATGCACACCTAAGCAACTGTTCCCAATACATCAATGTTATTAGGCAAAAGTGAGCCGGTGTTGGCACTGGATGTTTCAAAGGTTGATGGACTAGTTTCTGCATTAAAAACGTTGCGGAGGACTCAAAAGAGAACTCACCTAAAAAGAGGACTGTCATTGCCCATATCCTCAAATTCATATCCTCTATCATCGCTAATGTTTTCTGCTTCGCACTGGCCTTCTTTCTTTTTGTTCAGCCGATTATAGTCCCACATAGCAAAGAGACTCATTATGATCCTGTCGCAAATTCATGTTATTATGCTACAGTTCCCGTTCGGAAGACTGATGGGACATACACAAGAGAAAGGAATCCCATGATCGTGCCGTGCCCGATGTGGAAGTGTGGCGGATCAATGTAAATGAAGCAGGAGCAAATACTGAGACTAGTATGAGCGGATGGACGTTGCATATTTAGGATAACGTGACGTACCCTCCGAGATTACCGAAACCAATGACCATTGCTATTACAATTCCACGTTTTAAATCGCCTCTTGCACTAGAACCTGCTCAAGCCAGAGCAATCGCGACAGGTTGGATAAACTCCAGCAGCAGCCAGACAAGCTCCCACGTACGACGGGTCCGCTCGTACGCTGCAATATAGCAAGATGTATCCCACAAGAGAAACAAGCGTGCCACCAATGATGTACGGACCACGAATATTGTGCTTGTCAGAATAGATGCCAAATATGATTGTTCCGATACAGCCAGCAGCAAATGGCGGGGCTGAGAGTAGCTGGGCATTCGCAGCAGAGTAGTCAAGCTCGTTGATGATGGTTGGCGAGAATAGGGCGATGGCATAACCAAGGACGAGCAGCCTGATCATTAACTCAGATGAAGCACACGATATGACAGAGACTAAGTACCTTAAATAAATGAGACTTTGGACGTAGGTCTTGTAATCTTTTATAGCTTGCCGGAAGAATTGAGTGTCGAAGCGAGAGGAAAGATTATTAGAATCTTGTTTGAGCACATCTATGATGTATGATCTCTCTGATTCGGTCAAAAATTTGGTCATTTCAGGATACTGAGTGGTCTAAATCAGCATAGGAAAGGCTCGGCATAATCGTGAACTCACATCATGCATGTAGAAAAAAGAGAGGATTGCGACGAGGACAGTGGCTGGTTGAAAATGAGATGAATCAATCAACTCTGTAAGAGCGGGAGTAGGAAATTGGCGGTATATAATCTGAGGCGTGATGTTTGGATGTCCACGGAAGTCTGTAACAGACAATTCGACCGATGATGGATGAGCAGATTAGGCTCGGCTGGGACCGGCCCACGGCCTGAAACCGGGCCGTGTACATCACTATGCGCACCTCCGGCGTTTGGTACGCCGTACTAGAGGTAGCTGCAAATCATCGTTTGGAGACCGAGGTATAGCATCCACTATATCTTCGTTGACTGAATCTTTCAGTTTTCTCTTTTTTCAACGAGGTGGTTGCTGTGTTAACCCGGATTGGGTGCCAGATACAATAAGATCATCAAGGTCGAGGATGCTTTGTTGAACATTGTTTAGTTCATTTGCTCGGTCTTCTTTGGTACATGCTAATATTTTATTATGTGTGGTCAGGTTATTCATAATTGACGGTAATCGTTGTTCTGCTTGTTTTCGTTGGTCATCGCTCGTATATGGTGAGTCTATTGATGTTTTGAGGTTCAGTACATCTAATCGAAGAGTTTCTTGGCGAATGTCTTGAGATGGATGAGAGCAAATTTTATTATAATTAAATGGACGCAAGATAAACAGGCTTTGTAGAGAGGTTGCACGTGATATCATCACATATGGTTTCTCAGCACCTCGGCACCATTTTGAACCAAGATCAACAATAACTTTCTTTAGTGTTTGGCCTTGTGATTTGTGTGCAGTGATAACAAAACCTGGAAGGATGGGCACTTGAGTGCGTGTAATGCGACATGTCTTTTTTGAGTTCGGATGTGTGAATCTAAGTTCTACGGAATCCTCGATAATAGGTATTTGTTGAGGACTTAAATTTGGGAGTGCCTCACCTGATGATTGACTGATTTCCACAATACAGGATCTCAGCACACGTTGTTTTTCATCATTGAGTGAGTGTCTTACTTTTCTCAGTATTCCTGTACTACCATTCACAATTCCGCCATCGACATCAAAGTTTTGAGATACAAGGACTGGTATGCCAATGACTAATGGGATTTTACCTAGTCGCATGTTTGTTTTTCCCGAATTCAAATGCTGTAATTTGTTGATCAAATCGTTATCATGTAGTTTCTTTCTTTGATGCTTATCTGTGCAGTGGTACCAATGAAGAGTGCGTCCTGTTCTTCGTGCAAATGCTGTTGTCATTCTAATGTTGAGTTCATCTTTGCTCTCATTGTCACAGACAATGATTGGTGCATCTATCCATTCACAATCATCTGTATGATCTGCATTGGTGGTAATCACTCTTGTTTGTAGAAGCTGATAATCATCTAAAGTGCATTTTCCTTGACACAGACGTGTTAGACAGTCAACGAATCGTTCATTTTCTGAACCTGATTGACGCATTATCTTTGTTAATAATACCACAGTGTTTGTTGATAGCCAGAGGAGTCTGCCAAATATGCTCTTTTGTCCCTGTGTTGTTGCACAGCGTCTAAGGTCAAGGTGGGCATATAATTGTTTGCCACTCACAGGTGATAGCTGAGCAAAATCTCCTGCAAAGATAATGTTCATCCCTCCAAATGGTGCTGTGTTACCTTTGGCATCCACTAATGCATCATGAATTTTTGTAAGAAAATCACAGCTTATCATTGACACTTCATCTATGAACAAGTAGTCAATTCCTTCCCACATTGCAGTGAGATCTCGTTTTGTTTTGGTATTCGCAGCTGATGTATGTCTTTGGTTTAATAATAATGAGGCATGTAGAGTCATGCCTGAGATGTTCCGTGCAGCTACTCCCATGTATGAGGCAAGTCTGAATCGTCGTGTTTGATTTCGTTTGATGAAAAAATCCTTCAGAGCATTAATGACCCTTGACTTTCCAGTACCAGCTGGTCCTCCAATAAACATCCTCAGAGGTTCAGGATTGTTTGTTCGACTATGTTCTGCTATTATTTTAAAGGCCCTAGTCTGTTCGTCATTTAATGACCATTCTTGGGCAACACGATCACTATTTACATCACAGAATTCATCAACTGCATGGGTCTGGCTTTGAATATTTGGCACAAGGGTTTTGTGTATTTCTAATGGCCTTGTTTGTATTGTTTCGATTGTTGTGGATTGTATGTCATGATTGGTGGGTAAATGTGATTTTGAGGAATCATTTGTAGTTTGATTTTGCTTCCATTTTGTCCGTCGTCTTTCATAGCAATCTCGCCATTCATTCTCTTGTTCGGTATTTTCAATCATTTGTTCAGAAAGTTGATTATTAGTTTCACTGGTATGGTGGTCTGTATCAGGAGGTTCTGCAGTACTTGAGACACGTGAAAGATTGTCAAAAAATCGACATGATTCCATATATTGAAGACAACTAATCAGGTCGTCATTGATTGTGGACTGTCGCATAGAATGACAAGAATCCATTGATTCTAGATGAGTGAGTATATCTTCATCAGTATTATCTGTGAATATGTCATCCTCATTGTTATCATGACTGTAGTTAGACATTTCAGTTGAGATTCCTGCAAGTTTGTGTCGAAGCCGGTGGTTTGCAAAATGATCATCTCGGCTGTCCTTGCATTCATGCAATATCTGCATGTTATTCAAGATGGCAATAATCTTCTCATCACATGTGCGTCTAAATGTTTCAAAGCTTTCAATCCATGATTGTGTTGTTTGTTTGAGATCAGATACAGATCTCCATGGTTTGAAAAGGATCAGCATCAAACGACAGTATTTGGGATAGATGTATTCCTGGTCTCTGCGAGGCATCCTTGGACCTATTGGGACGGGCACAAATCGGTTCTTTTGTTGTCTCACACGTAGAAAATGTGTACGTGATTCATAATCCCCTGTTTGTAGCTCTCCAGAAGGCCGTGTTTTGGCTGAAGAATGGAGAATCTCTTCTGCTAAAGGAGATGGAAGTGGATCCTCTACTAACGATGTTTCATCTATGTCCATCTCATCCAAGTTTTCTAGATTATCAGTATCATCTTCTAGCATGGTATCATTGGTGAGTTCATCCTCATTGTCATCAATGTCATCATCATAGCATGTTTCATCATCGTCCATATTCTCCCAATTTGTTTTCTTATTTTTCTTGCTCTTTTTCACTTTATCTACTTGAGCAACAAAATCCCATATGCATATGTTGCTGAACTTGTCATCTCGATGTAAGTAGTCCATAACTTGTGTGGCTTTAGGCATGAGATTTCCGAAATTGTCACTACCAATTCTGATTTTATCATTTTGGAGCTGTTCAACATAAACTCCGTCATCATCTAGAGTTCCTTCAACCGGTCTATGTTCAAATTCCTCATTAGGTTCATCAAGTGCTCCTTCAGTATCACCACTAAGACTGTGACTGATTTTTGGTACAGTATCATCATCTATTATTGATGACTGATTACACTCAGGACTTGGATTGCATTCTTCGACAAAGGATTCAAAATTTGTCCAATACAATCCACGGTACTCATGACTTGTAAAGTGGTCCTCAAAATCCATCAGATATGAACAGACTTGCTGAGCCGACAATTCTTGGTGAGAGATCATTGAATGAGCACATTTTTGCAGCATTTTCTTCGCTCGCAGTGTGCAATCATCATCATTCGGATCATATATTTCTAATTTATGTATTGCTGTTTCCATTGCAGCTAATGCAACATGAGTTTTTAACTGAGACTTTGTGATATAGTCAGTTATATAATACAGTATTGCTTTTGCGGCTGGTCCTGATCCGATGAATTTTATATCCATATTACACCTCATGGCTTCCAATATGCTTGCATTAAAATGATTCACTAGACCGTCTAGGCACTTTAAGGTAATTTCACCAGTGATTGGATCAGTCAGGCTTATTGGATGTATATTTTTTTCGTCTAGATCAAATCGACATTATTTTGGTTCTGGTGGGCCTTTCCAGTATTTCCAGCATGTTTTTGAATGTCTGTGAGTCTGACATTTTTTAGCAAGAAGATGTATGTCTTTCTTTCGCATTGTCTCTAACCCATCTTCCTCAGTGGTGTTCTGAAAATTCACACCTCGAGTTGAACATGGATGACAAGTTTGATTGGGTATTGATATGTCTTCCTCAGGAAGTTCAGGAATACATGTCGAGATTGTATCTTCCAGGTATTGAAGAAGACATTCTTTAAAGCTTTGTTCTTCATTTTGTAATATTCGGTCCTTGATCTCATTAGGATTAAGGCCACCTTCCAGCCATATCAACATATGACAGTGTAAAGTCCCCCTTCCTTGAGCTTCAACACATCCATAATATGCACTGACAGTACCAAGTATGCCCTCATGAAGGTCTGTACCCTTACCTTCGAATCGCAAAAGACATTTGATGAAAGATTTCATGTAGATATTAAAAAATTTGGCTGCAACAGCTGGATTTCGAGCTACAAGAATAGATTGATCGTAGAATTTTGGCACTTCTTCTGGCAGAAGATTGTCAATATCTATCTCAGCACCAGCAAGAAATTTGACGAGCGGATTATATACATCAGCAGGATTGATGGTAACATAAAAACTCGGCAAACCTCGTTCACACATGAGGCCACGGATTTCATTTCGCATGTTTGCTCTTGCATGTGCTGATCCTGGAACTTGTGAGGTTATCATTCGTACCTCTTTCATCAAGCGTAATACACATTGCTCATCTTCATTGTTTGCAGAAACAGTGTCTCCTCGAGCTACACGCTCTGTCACACAGTGAACAGCCCATGGTGAAACAGCAGCAAGATTGGTAGCTACAGTTGGAAAGGAGTCCCGCTTTACTTTCAAAGATGTGTGTAACAAAATCTTCCGTCGCTGTAAAATGTTGAATGCCGTGAATAGAAACGAGTAATGTTCTTGAAAATGACGATCTGCAAGGTTAAAAAGGTGTTTAATGTGTCTCTTGATTGACAAAGGTTCAGGACGTAGATGGTCTTCAAATCCTCCCAATCCATATGGAAACAAGGTAGGATAAATCATTGGAAAGAGATTTGGATCGAAGAACTCATTGACAGGTTGAGGATCATGAGGGATCTGGACATATCCACCGCCTTTGTTCTTGATATGACGGACTGCTGCTGCACGCAATTCATTTGCAGATGCATTTCTGTCAACATCAGTGACTACAACATTTTCAAACATAGTCTCCAGATCAGCAGCACGTGATTGTTCATCAAACAACAAAGAATTATTATCCACATCAGATAAATCTTCTGACTGCACTGCCTCGGTTGCATCATACTTCGATGTCAAGGAATCACGTGCATCATTTGGAAGAACGTGGTCGATGTGAAAAGGCATCAACATTTTTTCTTCCATAGAATTCAAAACATCAAAATCAATGATGATATCTTTATACAGATGATTGTGTTCCTTCAACCAAACTAATGCAGCACGAACTTTTTCTCTCCGAGCTATCAAAGGTTTGGCCTTTTCTTCAAGCCATGCACGAGTTGGAGGACATGAGCCCACAAAAATGATGCAAATCGGCGTAATAATGTCATCCACTGATGGAGGTAAGACATTTGCAATCCCTTCTGGGCGCTGAGGATAAACAATTATGTGACCTTTGATTCCACGTTGATTAGTAGAAAGTTGCAAATCCTGGTTTTCTTCCTTCAATTGAATGATCCAACATTTCGCACGACAACGAGCAATCATTGCTTCCTCAACGACAGTCAGATCTTTCAATTCATCAGGTACTTCTCCCAGAAATGTTCGATTCGCAAGACTGAGTGCCGGATGTTTGCCTTTCTTAAGCTTCTTGTCACAAACATTGCACAAGGATAATTCAAAATCGTCCTCACCACATCGTCTCACCCCAGAAGGATCAAGCATCAAGTCACAAAGAGGACTGTCAGAACATGCAAAAGGTAATGGAGGGAGAGGACAGTCCCCATCGAAATAGTCATTTGACATGTGCTGATCTTCTTGTCGATCAGATCTGTGCAAAAGAGAGGAATTAGTGAGACTCGCTACAGATACTGTGACTTGTTCAGAACATGAAACACTTTCAGCACAGGACGCGCAGGTAAATGTGGCCAATCTTTCTGAAGAAGTCTCATCTTTGAACATCTGCACCAAACAATGCTTCAATTGCGAAGACGGAAGCTGAGGCCATTCGCGAGAAAGCTGACGATGATGATTTTCACGAGCTTGGATCTGATTTTGATTAGAAGATTTTGACTTAGCTTTCTGCAGTGATTTGATATGCTTCTTTAATGTACGACGAAGCTTTCCTGTTTTCGATCCGAGTTCGAAACTGACCCCATTTGCTGTTAACAGCCGTTCTAAAGGTCGTCGTTTCGTAGTTGTCAATATAGTCGTCAAGAAGGCTATCTTCATAGAAAGCACGGCCTCTTCGTCACCACAAGATGTATTAAGGCTTTGACGCGCAGATTCACAACCCTCGAAAGTTCGCGATGAATTAGATCCACAGACTCCTGTGCCAACGTGTTGAGATATAGCCTGTCACAAATCTTCCATAGACATGTCATCAGTTACCTGAAGACCATGGGCAACTACCAATTCACTCAGAGCAGATTTCGATAATTTTTCATAACCACCAAAAAAATCATCCAAAGCATGTTCATTTCGCGGATGTACAGACAAACATGATGAAGAAGAACCCGCTTGGGTAGCTAAACAGGATCCCGCTTGGGTAGCTGAAGTTTTTTCACCGTCTGTAACAACAGACGACGAATAATAATGACTCTCTACAAAATAAAAATGAGATATACAGAAACAATTCGAAGCAATACACACACCATTCCAAGTATGACAGCCAGAAAGTCGAACGACGTCCGTTTCTGAAGGCCTTTCGAACCGAGATCCATCAAACTTCGCGTTCACAAACGCTAGCCAATCACGACCAAGTTCGACATCACATCCACTCAGATGGACCGGACGAAAGATCTGCTGTGAATTGTACCAACCATCAACGGTAGGCACGCGAACCGGGCCAAGAGTGGACTCTGCATCAGTAAATTCACGCATTGCTTGACTTCCTTTTTCGAGACTTGCCGCCGGTCAATAAATATTATTTACCACTTATTTACATTTATTTGATTGAGTGTCTTAGTCGAAAGAAAGCGCGTGACAAACAAGCGCGATAATGCGCAGATAAGCATCAAAAGGACACACATTTATTTCAAGGCACAAAACTACAGTAAGTGGTGCAAGTGTACTTATAAGTATGACGTATTGACGAGATCTCGTTAAGTAAATGGCAGCTTCAAAGTCTTTTGATAGCGTGCGAGGGAGGAAGCGCCAATGGATCGATGTTGCGATCAGGGCGAATGAGGCGATTCGGGCTGAGGCGGAAGCAGAGGAGGCAGAGGCGAATGCGGAGGTGCCAAAGGGCCTTTGGGAAAGGGTGAAGGGGTGGATCGGCGAGAGGAATCGAGACGGAACGAGTCGCTCGTGATTCCAGCCTAAAGTGAGTCCTAGGATGTCTCTTAATCAATGAAGACTTACCTGGTCCTCATAGTGTCGTTTTCGCGACTTTGACCCGCAAATATTCACCGTCAGCGTTGTATCAATGTATAGTAGATAGAATAAACACGTACCTTCGCATGCCCCATTGTGAACTCGACCTCGACACCCAAGTCTGACGCTGGAGTACTACGACCAGGCGTATCGGTTTCCTTGAGAAGCTTGTTGGCAGCGCGTCGTTCTTTCTTGCCACGGGCACGATCGACGAGTTCCTGCAAATCTTCACCGTCCTCCACAGCCTAACATCCCGATCAGCATGCATGCATCGCGACATCCTACTAGACGTACCATCGCCCACTGCTCATCGCTAAGACCATTGTTATAATTGACGACATTACGACGACGCTGACCATGGCCCTGGATAGCATCATCAATCTCCTTCGGCTCGAACAGTTCATCCGTCTGATAGCATTCAGGCAGCTCTTCAAGCTGCATGAGCGGTAACGACGGCTTCCCCCTGTTGCTGATCGCACGCCATGCGTCCAACGCATCCCGTTCTCGCTGAAGATCCATCGTGCGGAAAATCTCATTGAGTTCATCGTCATTCATGTCACCGGCCTCTTCGTTCTCCTCCTCTTGATCTGCTTCGAGGATGGACCGCTGCATACCACTCATTTAGCTATTCGTTATGTGAGAGAGCTGCTGCAACACCTACCAGGAATTCTTCCTGCTCTTCCTATGTTGATTTGTTGTCGAATCGACCGGCTTGGATGACCTTGTCGTCGATATCGAGCTTGTACCGCGCACGAGCATACATAGCTTCTTCGACACTCTTCCCTGTGATGAAACGGAGGATTCGGACAGCCTTTGTCTGGCCGATACGGTGAGCACGATCTTGAGCCTAAAGATCAGCATGGGGATTCCTGAGACATCATCATCAGTACGTCTTTCCAAACGATAACCAGAAGCTTATTCACCAGTCACTATCAAAGCTGCAAACCTATGCGTCAGCATAGAGAACAACTCGACCGCAAGAGACAACGCACATGATGCCATCACCCCATTTTGTGCGATACAGTGCATCATCTGGCTTGGTATCGGGATGAATTTGGAGCCTGCCTTCCCAGAGAGCAGCAGAGGACTTTGAGGGATCATAACGAGCAGGGTCAGACGGTGTACCGCGTGATTGTGGTGCCCAGCCAGCTCCGATGGAAGATGCAATAAGCGTCGGTATCATAGTCATCAACGAGGGGCTAGAAAAAATTAAGGATTCCATCTCACAAACTAAACATCAACACATACAGAGGAACACGTTTATCTTCGTGCAGTCTAGCCTGATGGCTCTTCACAACAAATGAAGACGAGTGAAGTCGCCCGCCCTGCAGGTTAGCGAACGTGGCGAGATTGTCACGCAAAAGTTCAATCACAGAGTTCCATTCAACATCTGGGCGAACTTTGAGAAGACCGCCTTCGGGTTTGGGGAGTAAGCGCATCATGATGAAGAGGCGTTCAAAGGGTCTGTTGGGCAGTAGGTGGATGAGCGTGCCCAAGGGGATGGATACGAAGCCGAGGGCAAGTGAGATGCCCCATTTACGACCAGCAATACGTGTCACCTGGAATGTGGTGCCACCGATGAACACGATGACCACTTGAACAGCGATCTCTGCAAACCAGCCGTGAGGGTAGTCCAGGTATAACATGACTCGACTCACCGATGAGAGTAATGGCCATGAAGTACCAATTGTTAAGCATGCCTTCAAAAATGTTGAGCTTCCGGTCCAGCCTTCGTGAGTTCACCAAGTTGAATATCTGAGCGAAGACAAACGCATTGAAGACGAGAGTCTGGACAATGGTGGCATTCCCCGACGTGTCTGCATAGCCCAAAATTGTGATGCCAAGGAAGTGGAATAATAGGATGACGGTGATCCGGTAGACAGACCGGATCAAGATCTGCTTCTCGATTCCGATCAATGTTAAGTTCTAGGCGATGACGTCGTAGGGCACCTAGAACTAAATGAGTATGTCGAAATATCACTGAAAATATACCTACATCGTCAATCGCAGTGCCTTGCATCCCTGGTGGTGGCCAAGACGGAAAATCCCTATAGCACAGGGTGATAGTCCGCAGAGTCTGATTTGCGTAGAAAATGATAGTCCTCGTCATGTTCTCTTGCGAGACGCCATCGATATCTGCCACCTCGACATCGTTGGACTCGGTACTGGGGCGAGAGCTCCCATTCTGTTCTACGACAACGTGGCTGCTGCACAACTTTGTCAAAATCTCGCTAGCACCCTTGACGTAGAAACGCACCCAAGTTCTTTCGCAAAGTTCAAAAGTGCCGTCTCCGTCTTGCTTCCCACAAACACACGCTTCCCAGTCTCCTTCTCCTCGTCCTCATACGCAGTAGAGTTAACAGCGATGGCCGCATTAAACAGCGAAAGAAGTGGCCGGCTCAGAACGGTGTTGAGCATTGATTAATCGATGCTGAAATCGTCACACAGGGTATTCGAACCAGAGCTCCTGTGTGGGCTTGCGACCACGGATATGACGTTGCGGGTGAGAGTACCGGTCTTGTCGGTGCAGATGATGGAAGAGTTGGCCATCGTCTCGCAGGAGCCCAAGACGCGCACCAGGAGGTTTTCTTTCGTCATCCTCTTGGTGGCGAATGCCAGAGCAAGAGTTACAGCCAGTGGGAGACCTTCTGGAACGGCGACTGGATATTGTCGTCATGCAATGTCCTAGGACCTGAATATTAGCAACGGACCAAAAATTGAACTGAGGACCCACCTATGTCATCCAGTCAGGACGCTATCTCGAACGCGTGGTGATCAGCGTATTTGTTGACGTAGAATGAGCCGAAAGTATCAAGAGACTGATAAAACTTGAGGGAGGGAGGAATGTACTCAGAACCGTAGATGGGTATCAAGTGGGCTGCACGGAAGACCGTCTCGATATGAATGACAGCAAGGTCCCTCGAGCTGTCCTCATGAAAACTTGGAGCGACCATCCACATGCCAGTATCTTCATCAGGACAGTCACCAATCTTCTCAAACCATTGTATGAGAGCGCATGGATATACTTCCCAGTCGTGCTTGAAAGAAAAGAAGCATATGACTCTCGCAACTTCGAGTCCTCGCATCCCTTCAGCATCTGAATCAGTGTTAATGAACACACAATCATTGCGCGGGTACTCGTTCCGCCAGAGTGGACATGCACGGATATGCTCACGTCGCATGCCGCCAATGCCACTCAGATCACTGGGAGCATAAAACGTTGCGGCAGCAGAGTTGAAGACCTGAAGCTTGCCTTCATGTCGAGGCAAGCCGGCAGCTGGGATATCTTCGGGGTTGCGGGCATCATCTGGGTTGAGCTGAGAGAACAGGAAGTACCGAATGAGGCGTCGTAGATCTGGAACAGCGACTTCATGTGCTAATGCTGCGACTGTCTGTGCCCGTTTTCTTTCTGTGTGATACAGTGGTGAGGATCAAGTTTAAACACTGCAGGAGGTTACTTACGGGGAGTTCTCGCGAGTGCTACAGAAGCAAGTACCGTTGGACCATCAACAATTTCGCCATCGTCCATGTCTGGTTGCGGTTCAATGACGGGGGCATCTGGTTGCGGTTCATTGTCAGGGGCATGGGGTTGTGGTGCCATAGCGGGGGCAACTTGTTCGTTTTCATCTGCCGTTGTACATTACCATTGAATATGCGAGAAATTCGATAAAGAAATTTAAACAAACTTACCAAGAGCAGCTAAAGCACTCGACAAAATAGTGCCAGTGAGCATCCCTCGCGCATCAAAGTCCACGCGCGATGCTGCAAGTTTATCAAGGCGCTGATTGGTCACAAGCATCTGACCAAGAGCATTGTGCCTGCTCGACCACCGCCAAGGCTCCTTTACTGCCTTGATGTGCTTCGATTCTGTGATCGATGAGCACAGTCCGTTAGGGGCACCGAAGAGTCTGATCATGTCCACGTAATGAGCCATCGAGTGCTGACGGGGGAGTGAGAAGGTGGGAATGACGGTATCGAATATCTTGCGATAATGATGGAAACGACGAAGTGCGTCTTGAATCTGAATCAAGGTATCTTCGGTAATGATGTTGCGCCGGACAAGATAGCAGAATTCTAACAATGCGCGAAACGCACGCACCATGTCTTGAGGTACGTGACCTTCGATAGCCGGAAGAAATACCTTCATGAGCGCTTTGGAATCATCGCCCGTCCATTGTTTAAAATCGCGGCCTTGAGGAAAACGTCGTAGACCAGCAAATGATGCTACAGCAGCAACTCTGGCTTATTGTTAAATAAAATTGTTGAGTAAATGAATAAGTTGACATACCTGCGATCTATGTCGCTCATGATCTCCTCTGATCGTTTGGTCCCGTGTACGGCCTTGAGGTACTTTGATACCCAATCAACGAGATGGTCTTTGAAGGCCCCTTTAATGAGCTGGTGGAGAAGGTCAAACGACAGCAACTCATGAATGTCAGCTCGGGGGAAGTCATTAGTGAATGGCTACACAAAATAGATTAGTCTGGTATTGAAGAGCGGCTTGTTCCACTCACGACGAGATCACCAATAAGACCAAATTCATCCCACAATACATCTGCGTGTAGCTCGTTGATCAAGAAATCAGTAAACTCGCGGGTGCGGTAGATGCCACCACCATCAAGGTTTGTGCGAACTGCAATGCATCTACACAAATTGTTAGTGTGAATGGATACTGACTGCAAGTGCCAATACTCACTTCGGGCACCAATGTTTGACAACACAGGATAGCACGAGTTGTTCCTCGTAATCCGCTATGTAGGGTCCTAGACTATATATAACGCGCCGGAAATGACCATCTCCACAGCGCACGACCTCATACGTGGTCATAACAGGTCTGAGGCTGGAGAGAATCACGGATAGCGAACTGTGGAATAGCTGGCGGCGAAATATCCGAAATGCGTCATCTTTAGAATGACTCCTGTCAGCTGAAATGCAGATCAGATGACGGAAAACGAAATTTAAAATATGAATATACGTACTTTTGGGTATGGCGAGGAAACCAATGATGACAAGAGCATCACGGTGCGCGCGTCGCACGTTGTTGCGTACATTACCGATCGAGGCGTAGAGGGGATAGTATTCGTTATTACCAGTGCCCACAGAGACAGTAGTTTTGTCACTACCGAGAATAATTGGGACCAAAGCGGATCCGTGTGTTTCTGGATCTTGTGATATGGTGTCCTTGATGAAATATTAGCTATACTATTTACGAGCGATATCAGAAAGAGATGGAAGACGTACTGCTTGTTTCCATGCCCAGTCTCCGGACATGAAATCTTTCCATCGGCGTGTGGCGTCCGATGCATCGTATTCACGATATGGTACATAGTCGATTTCGTCCTTGTAGTCAGGGTTAGCGATGATATTGTGCGCCATTGCGCGGGGGTCCCTATACCAGACCTCGAATTCATCGTCCATCCATGGTGGGGCAACCTCAGGTCGTTCTCCTGTATATTGAGCAGAGAAACACTGCCAAGGGACGTCACCAAGCTGCGTCGCATCTATGACATTGTGCAGATCTTTGTGATCAGCAAATGGAGGGGTGTCGTGGTGTTTTGCGAGAGTCGCGGCCATTAGGTCACACAAGAAATCCAAATTTCTTGCCGACATATGACATTTTTTGAATGCGAACTCTGCCGCCTCAAACTCGATCCTAGTGCGATATGGGCTCCAATCATCAGGAGCCTTCAATGGCACAGGAGTCGGAGGGGTGCCATATGGCAGAAATGTCCCATCAGCCGCGCATGGTCGTCCTAAGCGTACATTTGAGTCAAAAACGGAGTACTCAAACTTGAATGAAACTTACCATTTAATGTTGAATGGTATGTGCGATAGCAACGCTCGCTCGCGTCAGTAAATTCTGCATCATTGTGTACATCCTCTTGAATTGGATCAGGAAGTATGGGAGATGATGGCCGGGGTGGAGGTGAAAAATCCGGAGGGGGCAGTGAGAAATCTCGAGGGCGGGAGGGTGAACAAGATGGCCGGGGATGATCCTGAGGGGACGGTGCTGAAACAGGTAAAGTTGGGTGAAGCGAGCGCCTGTGTTGTGTAAGACCTGACTGGTTTCGAAACCAGCGTGAACATCCTGGAACTGGGCATGGAAGCTGAAGCAGGTGGTGAGCACGACGGGGAGGCATGTGTGCTATGCTGGATGTTGACGAAGGTTCTGAAGGCTAACCGTTAGATTCAAGGTTTGGGGTGCAACCGTCCATAATCACCGGTACCAATGTGACAAATTTGATAATGGAGGCCAGATTTGGGGCTCGGACACGAGCAAACTGTACCGAAAAAGCTTTCTACACTGGAAAAGCGGTGGTATACCTCAGTCTCACTGCGCCAACAAACAAAAACTAGTACTAACGGTGCGGGGAGTGTTAGTAGACTATCTCCTCGTCGGAAAGGTGTCAAAGAACCATGACATTGATGTCTCACAGGCAAAGCGTTGGACTGATATTATCCGGAGTGCCTGAAAAATGGTAGAGACTCCCAATATTAACGGCGACTGCAAAAGATCGCGCTAGTATATTAGTGGGTACGTCAGAGCAAAGTAGGGTCATATGTATGAATTCAGAGTCAGCTTAGGCTACAATTTTTGAAGAATTGTGACGAAACTTACCTTGTCGTCCGCCACCACTGGTTGGGTATTCTCGTTCTCCAGCCTCCCAAACCTTCCATCAATACCATGTCTCAGCTTGCCAGCGCGGTTCCGAGGCGTGTGGCGACTCGAGCTAAAAATGCAACTCAGCACCCAGGATATATCCTGACCGGGGGCGAAGGCCACACAAAGAGACGTACCAAAGCTCAAAAGGCCGCTGACGATCAGCATGTAGAGGAGGAAAAGAGGGCAAGTGAAATGGCTGTTCATGAAGGACATAACCGCATTGCTGTATTTCAGAAAAAAATGGAGACAGACCAAGCAGCCGCACGTGTTGATGCGCCAAAGCCTACTCGTCCCCGCCCACGCCCACGCCCCGTAAAAAAGGCTGTAAAAGTCATGGAGACCTCCAACTTGACTATGGCCGAAGATAAGGCCGTTAGCGCTAATGGCAAGGGTGGTGGGGCTAGAGGTAAATTAGCAGCCGGTGCTAACGTCGACCATCCTGGGAGTGATGCAGAGGAAGAGGTGCGAGTGCCGGGGTCACGCAAGAAGAAGGAGAAGAGGAAAGTGTTACCAGTGAAGACGCCAGTAAGAGATGCAATCGAAGCAGCGGGTCTTATCGATGAATCAACGATGGCACGTGATGACGATAAGAAGTCTGCTGATGTGTAAGACGTTTGCTTCTCAACTATGTTGCACCATCTCACTGAAACGGCTCTTTTCTTCTTCAATTTAATGGTGCATGATGATGATAGCACTACATCAGGTCCTCAAAAATTTGGTTTTGCTGTCCAGCGTATCCCGGGTTGGAGGACGGAAGTTCCCGCTGCCAGTGTTGGTTCTAAGCCATCCTCCAACGCATTGAGGAAAAGACCATCTACGATGCCTTCCGACTTCTCCAGTACTGCTCCCTCTTCCAAACTTACCATGGGGAGTACTATCAGTAGCGGTGGTGCCCCACTCACGCCCATCAATACTATCGCCGATGCTGGGGCTGACAACGTGGCAGATCGTTTTACGACCCTGTTTGCAGACGATGATCTGGCTGAATCAGTTGAGCGCTCTCAAGCCCTTGCCCGTATGTCCAAACCAATAGCTGCTCAGGTGAGTTTAATTATCTAGTTCTTTCTTATGTATTAACCGCATCACCAGGGCGTCAAGATTTATTCTAAGGTCCCTGATACTTCAGTACGAACAAATCAATCCCATCGCAATGCCAATTTGACTCCTCGACAGATCAACGCAATTCAGCCTGACGTTTCCGACGATGAAATGAATGTTGAGGCGACCCCCCCAGTAGTAGCTTCCCTCGTTAACTATGGATCCGACACTGACATGGAATCTGATCTCGAGCCTCCTCCTTCTACACAGGTCCCCCGAGGATATTACGATGCTGATATCCGTCGAGCTGCAGCTCTCGCTCGAACTTCAACATCCCACTCTACCATTCTGGCGACGAGTGTCAAGCGCAAACTCGCAGATATGGAGGATGGCCTGACCGATGATGACGCGATTGAGGATGCCCTGCCTGAGGACGACTTGCTCGAGGACGACGTGATCGAGGACGACGTGATCGAGGACGACCAGATTGGGGACGACTTCATGGTCGATGATGACTTCGTCATCGAGGAAGATACACCTTCATCCGATGTTGAATTTGTGGGGCACAGCAAACCTGTGGTGGTCAAGACCGAATCTGAACCAGTGTCCTTGCGGGTCACATCTGCGGTAGTAAGCTTCGGTTATTAATATTCAAATCATACTAACTACGAATCATGTAGACTAATGTTGGCGTCAAGCACAAAGCTCCTGCGGCTAAGCGGACAAAGTCTTCCGTCACACATACTCGCAGTCTTTCCAGTATCTCGAGTGCTACTTCTGGCGCCGTGTCAAACTCTGTCGAGGTGGAGATTCTCCCCCGTTCTGCTTACAGGATCAAGAACCTTCCTGGAGGTGCTCGGGCAGTGGCTAGATGGAGTGCAGTATTCATCCCCACTCTCATTTTTGCGATCGGAGATCAAGATGAGGTCTGGGCTTGGGCTCTTCCCAAGTTGGAGGCAGTTCTCTGCACTACTGTGCAGGACACCTGGGACGCGGTGTACAAGGACATACCGCACAAGGTGACTACTGATGGGCCTGTCATGGCATTAGTAAGTGATCTTTGATGCAATTCGTATCTGATCGTTCTTGTTTCTTCTTAGGCCACCCAGCGGCTATCAGAATGGCGCAATGGCATGGGCACTACCGCTGTCACCGCACTCACACACTTCATGTCATTACAGGATGATGTCCAGACCGACCAAGACCGCGAAGATTTCGCAAACAACTTACTTTTCAAACTAGGGTTCTTATATGGTAGCATCACGGAGGACGGACAATTCAAGAAACCCTTTCAGTCGGAACTCCTTGTTCAAGTCCTCGTACAGCACAGGTGTGCTACCTGGGGCGCCATTGAGAGCCACAGGAAGGTCACGCATGCGAAGGGCGCTCTTAGCCTCGCCACTGCGGCGGCATGTACATTTACCCCCTCATCATATCGTGACTGACGTATTTATCAGATGGAACGCGCCCTCAAGATTATCGGCCGTGACAAGACGCTCATCAGTGAACTGGAGGTCAACAGTAAAGGCAATGCTGTCAAAGTCCCCCACAGTATGAACAAAGCCTCAGGCAAGATCAGCAACTCTCGAAAGGCCTTTTCCGACACCAACTTTGGTGCGGCAACCAGGGGCTATATGAAGTCCATCAATCGCCTCGACGAGTCGATCCTCCAGGACGTCTGGGGCCGCACGAAGGAGATCGCTGCGAGGAGGCGTGGTGCGCCCCCCACTGTGGAAGAAGATTCTGAGGATGAGCGCGCACTCATCTTTGATACCTGGTACTGTCCTTTTCTGTCACTTTCTAGTGTCCCAACTGACGGATTTCGGTGCTACTTTCTGTTTTATAGAGTTGTACTGCCCCTTCCTCTCGTCATTCATCATCGCTGTTCCCTGCTTGTTTGTTCACTGTTGCCCGCCGCGCGCATGTTAAATGTCTCGTTTTCGCTACTTACCAGTACTTTCATATTGCTTTCTCTCCTTTTTGTCTCGCTTAATATACAAATGCAATGATATACGGTTATTTTTGTCTTGAACAAGTGCACAATAAGTGAAATAAGTGAAATAAGTTGCTACAATTTACACTACTTGCACGACTTGCACTGCTTGTATTGTAGGAATAATTGAAAATAATTGCTCAAAAAGCGAAAATAAAGGTAGAAAAGTAAAATTCAAGAGGAGGCATCTACTTATCCAACTTATATGCCTTGTGGCAAGTGGATGGCAAGTGGGTGTCGCCATTTTTGCGAGTGACTTTTCCGCTCCTTTTTGGGATTTTGACCGGCGGCAAGTCTCGAAAAAGGAAGTTAAGAAATGTGGGAATTTACTGATGCCGCCTATAACTCTCCCATCATGATTGATGACAGTTCGAGGCACGTTGTAATCATGCAGAAAAGACAACGACACAGTCGAATCAAGACTCGCATCGTCGACACGAATAACAGCAGGAATGTCGGAGAAGGATCCGAGGACTGTGTAAGTAGACATATGTAGATAGTCGAAGATTATAAGAACGAAATCGATAAGCGCAGACGAAAAGCGACACTTCAGAACCGTGCGAACCAAACACCACAAACAAACCGGAACATCGGAAACGTGCGAATAAAATACCACAGTAGATACCGAAATGCGTTTCTCTGCCAAAAATTGAAAGATGAGGTTTTTTCGACGATGACACAACAAAACCCACTACTGCCGTAGCGGGAATTTCTTTACGCAATTGTTACAAAATTTCATAGTCAAAATCGTTTATCATTTTATCCTCTGAATTATCCTACTGACTTGGTGCCATGTTAATGTTTGCATGTGGAATACATAAACCTCAGTGTTACACAACAACCCTTTGCGGGGAGACTCTATAATAATGCGACAGTTATTCTAACCAATAGCTGCTTTCCTCCCATAGTATTCTTGAACAAGTGCAGTGAGCAAGTAAGCAAGCACTACGATATTTCTCATTCCTCATGCACATGCACATGGCCTTGTGGTCTTGGGAGGTCAACCGAGTCTGGAGAGCGAGCGACCTCGGTTTCAGCGAGGTGGATGGAGTTCTTGATAGACCAATCCCAGATTTTGTCAAAGTTCCTGCATCGATGACGGGTGTTGAAGTTAGGTAAAGGGGTCGTCTCTCCTTGAACCCAGTACCATGAGATCATCGTCGTGTCAGCACGGCACATAATATTCTGCCTTATCATTTCGATGCAGTGATCTGGACCGTAACGATATTCCATAAGCAATAGTGCTTCGAGGCAGAAATAATATTCACCGATATGCGCACGAACTACTCTTGGGGTGGTTTGGAACACAGGTTCTTGAATGGACCCATAATACTCCCACCAAGAGGCTTGGCGAAGGAAGTTCTACACTAATGTGAGCCAAGAATGAGCATATTGTCGGTGCAGTATAGCTTACCACGCAATGCAATTGGTGGATGGCTTCCATAAAACCAATGTACTGTCCACCAATTTTTTCCGGATACCTGGCTTTCCAAGGCAATTCTGCCTCGCTTGTACCTCCTTTGAGTATCTCTTCGCGGGTCATTTGAGTTACTGGGTTTTACGGAGGTGAACGATTTATAATTAGCATAGCGAGACAATAACGCACAATTATTAGCTATCCCATTCCAAGCGGCATCAATTTCTGGCGAAGGTGGACCACGATAGATAGAAGGAAAGTCAAGGGATCCGTTAAACCTTATAAATACGGGCTCGACAGCAACATTTGCTGGAGCTACGATGGGTTATAAACTGTACTCTTCGATGCGATCTTTCCACTTACAGTATATATTAGGTGTGTCGTTGATCAGCTGAGTCGAAGGCGTACGCATCCATAACGCAAAAGAGAGAATCGATGTGCAAATAAGTACGCCATGGGACAACCACAGGCGAAGGGTATGTGACTTGAGACGAGATTCTTCACCGAACCTTTTTGCTAGTTTGTCGTCGTCGTCGACAGTATCTATAGGAGAGTACTGCGAGAAATATTTGATCATGACCTTTGGGTGAGGTAGCTCCGTTTATTACTGCCAGTGAATACGAGGGAGAGGGGGCAGAGCTGGGGTTGGGGTTTAAGTTTAGCCTTTAAATCCGTGTGGGATGAGGGCTATCGAAAATATGCTGCACATGGTCATCTCATACGTAGCGTACATTGTATGGATGTGGATGAATCATGATGCATGAATCACGCGCACGGCCCGGGGTGGCTTGGCACTTCATAACCAGCTATGCCTCAACACACGTGGTTGATGCCAGCAGAGAGAGTACCAGATAGCGTCAGAGTTGACGCGTCTATTTGATACAAACGCTTCCTTTCGATTCGGAAGTGGCTGCGTACTGCCGAAGTGGCGGCTATTCAAAACGTTACGCTCCCCGAAGTTATCGTATAGTTGATGTAACGCTAGACGCCAACTGAGACAATTGTCTGCAAGCCGAAGGAATGATGAACCGTTTTGTTCGAGAATGTAAAGATTTTATAATCATGAAACTGAATTTGATGATCAAGGCCGTCACAGAAATCACGAAGAAGTTCTTGATGTGTAAGCAATCGTTCCTAGGATGTCCTGGTGTCAAGCTGCTGACTGAAAGTGTCCATGCAGAGGTCTTCTTCCATCAATAATCGCCGCCAACTTTGTCACCCTTTTCCGCCTCGTTCACTCGTAGTTCAGTACATGAATGTGTGTTGCCGTGGTGATTTTCTTTCGTAATAGGACAAGAGGGAACGAGCGGACGGACTCGGGCAATTGGACTTCGAGTACTACTTATGCAGAATCATCCGATGGTAGTTAGATCTGCCAAATCGTGCCCATAAGCATACGTAGGATATAAGAGCTGGTTGTCACCTACAGTGTTCCCCCATCCTTAGATATCATCCTATTCACTCCTCAGGATCCCATATCACCTCGTACAGAAGATGCGTTTCTCCCCTGTCGCCGTTGTTGTTGCTTTGACAACATCTATGTTTGTCGGTGCATGTTTGAGCAAGGGCAATTATGCATAATAGACGAGGCTTGCTGCGATAACCTGGTTTGTGACTATGGTGGCGTAAGTATGAACAGGTCGCTGTGCAACCAGGATTTAACCATATGACTCACCTGCACCCCTTAGGATGGAGAATTGATTTGCATGCTGCCACCCTAGCCGGTTGAAAATTGAGCTGGCAGCCCGAGCGGCATGTTGCGACAGTGTGTCTTTGTTATCACGGCTGATGCCATGGTACAATACCCAGTTCGGAGTCAACCAGTACAGTTGTTTTTTTTGGGACTGCTCGAGTACTCACATGAACGTTTGAATTTGGAAAACCTTGCCCTTGAAATCGAGAAAATTTTCAATAATTCCTAAGATTTTCAATGATTAATCTTAGCCAGCATAAGGATTTTCCCGGACGCGAGCCCGGGAAAATCCGATGAATAGACAAGGTAGCTAAGGACAAATAGCGGAGACCATAGATAAAGATAAAGAGCAACTCCAGGATGCGCGAACGTGCGCGCGTTCGTGCGTGAAAAGAAGCCATGGGCTGGGTGACAACGTAAGGGTGGGTGACGAGAAAAATATGCTAATGCAATGACGGGCAAGTGAGAAGAGGTCAACACGAGAATACTCCTTGAAGACATACCTAGTGCGATGACGGGCAAGTGAGAAGAGGCGAGGACCTCCTAATTGCCCACACGCACTAGGAAAACAAAATAAAAAACGAATCTCCGCCAGGACAGAGATTGCTCAGCATATGCGTCATGCCGAGAGCGCCCAGAGCGCGTGCCACAATGGCAAAGGGGTAGACCCCGGGTCAGCCCGCACATGGGAAAAACTCGAAAGTATCGACCAATTAGACTTGTGTAAAGACTCGATTAAACTCGACTAATTGGTCTCACTTAGCCTCGCGGAAGCGCAGGCTGCGAGGATTAGCCAGCATAAGGATTTTCCCGGACGCGAGCCCGGGAAAATCCGATGAATAGACAAGGTAGCTAAGGACAAATAGCGGAGACCATAGATAAAGATAAAGAGCAACTCCAGGATGCGCGAACGTGCGCGCGTTCGTGCGTGAAAAGAAGCCGTAATGTGTGTGTATGGGAGGGAGGGAGGGCAATAAGTATTGATGAGGGTAAAGATAGAAAATAAGACAAAACATATCTTTTAATGGACGAGCGCGAATGGATCACGCCCATCATGTGCGGACCGGCCATTAAATATGAGTGCGTGTAGAAGGGTTGGATTTTTACGGATGTACGAGCGAAAAGAGTCAGAACACCAACGCCCAATAGCTTGCACTTCCATTGCGGGGACTCCTGCTGCCGCCAGAGAAGTGGCACCTCCAGCACGCATGGAATGACCTGCGATTGTAGGAGGGCAAAATTTTCGTAGGCGAGTTAAAAACCACGCCCGTGTAGGCACGGTCCCATTGGACCGAAGCCAAAGTGTGGAGTGAAAAGGAAACATTGTGTCACGCGACGCAAGGTATTCCTTGAAGAAAGTATGTGGATCGGGATGAACGTGTGAGCGTTGAATGACGATAGTCGCACCCTCAAACTGAGGATCGACTTTGTGTGTTTGCAGTACAAACGAATGATGTGTCAACGTGACGCACACCGATGTGCGCAAAGTCAGCTTTTGACGGAGTTGTAGATGCCGAGCATCAGGCCAAACGAGTTCTCCCAGGCGTAAGAGGCCATGAAACCCATCAAGTAGGAGGGTCAGGAAGAGCTTGTCATCATGAGATGGGTGATTGTAACTATCAACCACCCGAGCAAGATCAGTTCGCGTTAAGGGTAGCTTACGCTTAACTGGGGTCCCATAGCGACGCTTCGCTCCACGCAAGGTTCTCGCTACTAAGCGAGACTTGCGAACCTCTCGTACAGACGGATAGAACTCTTCCAATTGGCTACAGATTCCAGAGAGGTAATTGTCGACAGATCGAGGATTAATGTGCGCTGCCATGAAGGTGACGAAGTAAGAGAAAGTGTCGGCGGTAGGTTCAATGGCGAAATGATGCAACTCGCAGAAAGCGAGGTAAGAGTTAAGGGCCGAAGAATAGGTATGATTAGTAGAACGATCAAGGGACAACCCTAAATTGATGGAACGCTCGTGTACAAGTCGTTCCAGAGACCAAGCTTCCCGTGAAGGTTGCTTGGCCCGTCGTAATGATGGGATCATTTTTTGACCTCCCCCAGCGCATTCCGAGGGGGTTCAAAGGGTAGAATTTGAAGGCGAGGAACGCAAGACAAAGCTTCCCTAGCCTTGTTGCGGGATAGATGATCTGCGACGACATTGTTGTCTCCAGCAATGTGAAATACACGGAAGTCGACCTCTGTGGCAAGAATGAGGTCGACAACGAACATAAGGAGCTGATTATAGCCAGTGCTCCCTGAGAGGGAGCTAAAAATGCTAACAGTGTCGAGACTATCAGTGAAGACAGCCAAACGATGACCCGGTGGGAGTCGTGAGAGCGCATCGTGGATTGCTGAAGCAACGCATAATGCTTCAAAAAAGAAAATATCTTTTACTGGTGTGCGATCTGGAAGATTAGATTGAAATCCTAGATGTAAAGAGGGATACCAGAACCCCATGCCGACTCCTGATGCGTCACAATATACACGCAGAACGTCTGGAGCGTTCACTATTTGACTAAGGTTCCAGGAAACGGATTTGAGGAAGTATACCCCATTTGAACGTTCAAGATGCTCTGCCGCCCAGAGTATCTCGAGTACAATTCGACGGTTGAGCCATACGAGTGCTTTTGACTGCGTCTTTCCCTTCATCTTTTGATAGAGCGCCGCAAGTCCAGGTCGCAGCATAGGAGCCACGTTGAGAGCCCAATTGAGTGATCCGGCGACATGTTCACACTCCCGTAGGGTTCGTCGATGGCGATGTCGCGCAAAAACTCTTAACTCGTCAATGAGCTTCCTTTTAGCCTCCTCACGAAGCGTGATGCGCATAAGTTGAGCATCGACGTCAAAACCGATGACTGGCAGAGGTGATCCGAAGACTTGCTTCCGCTCCTCATGAGGAATCCCGAGTTCATCCCAGAGAAGGAGAAGCTTGACCATGTTCCGAGGCAAAAACTTTTAATACTTGACATAGAAGAGTTGATCGTGTTCCTCGGCATATGAAAATGAGTCGTCAACATAGATATAGGCAAGAATGAAGCGGGCGAAGGTAGCCAACCAGATGACGAGGGACATGAAAGCGTGAAATATACGTTGGGAGGCACGTCCTCCAAAAACGTTTGCCCTGTCAATGTGTCGACGTCCTTCGAACGAAACAACTTGTTTGATTTGCCATAGTGGATGCATAGGCATGTGCCGGTATGCCTCAGAAACGTCTGCCTTCCAAATGACTATTGGGCCGTCTCCTTCATGTTGCCTGTACTGACGTAGTGCGTTCCCCAAGTGTTGAACATTATCCAAGGTTACTCCGGCAATATCGGCTTTAGCAATCATAGAATTGAGAGAGAAAGAACCAGCGCTGTGGTTGGTTACCAGTCTATACTTTCCTCCTTCCTTTGGTACGGCATGTATGGGCATGGTGTACATTCCAGGCAGTAAGATTGGACCAAAGTCCGCAGAGTATCGTCCCACTCGTACTTCTTTCGCAATCTGATCATGAAGAAACTCCCGCTCTAGAGAGACTGCGGGCACAGGAGTGGCTTCTTCCCATGTAGTTGGATACTCGCCATAGTGAGTGTCAGCCCAAGGCCAGAAACCTTGGCGAAGACCTGTGCAAACAGAAAGATAAAAGTCCGGGTTAGGATGACCCGCCTTTTCTAACATAGACTGAAAAACATCGACTTTGATGGGAGTGTCAACTCGAAAAAGATCCGGACGAGCGTGAATAGTGCTAATGGCTTCGACATTGAGGAATTCAGATGCAGGGGGATTGGGTAAGGCTTCTGCTGTTTCGGTCCAAAGCGCCGTTGGACTGATTACCGTCGTTCGTTTATCCCAAACGAAGTGACGTTGATACCGTTGGCCTCTTGCAATTGTTTCATTTACCTCTTTTGTCCGATGGGCACTCTCCCCGCTTATGATTCCCCCTGCAGCTTCCTCGGTCGCATACATGGAAGTAGAGACACTCCCTGGCCTCTTTCTCGCACTCTCCTCGGTTCCACTTATGACAGGGTTCACCTCTTCCACCTCTGGTTTGGCTCTTTCCTCCAGCAGAATCTCTGACCGTTTTGGTTCCTGAGTCATGTGAGCTTTGCATCGCGACCATTCCGAAGGCTGAAAGGTGACTGGACTTAAGCCCATCGAACCTGGTGAAGTCATCAAGACGGAGGAATTTTTGTTGCTCGACAAGGAGTCGAACGGCTCGGTCGAAATCGAGGACTCGCTCATGGACTGTGTAAAAGTGATTCCCGAAGATGTCAGACATGTACTCTCGATATTCCCTAACTTCCTCTTCTCGCCACGGCATGATGAAGGTGAGTGCGCGGGTCCATATGTCAGTGGCGATTCCCCAATCTCCGGCTGATTTAACCTTGTGGCTGACGGTAGGTTGGGAGAGCGAAAGCTCAAATCCCTTCCCAAGCGACTGGGTTTGTTTTGAGTCGATTGCTGTGGAATATCGTCCGGTGAACACTTTGTCGAGGTCAACAGCTCTTCCCTCAAGCAGCAAGGTCCATTGCGAAGTGGGAAGTTTTGGGCATCCAGGGGTAGTTGTAACTTTGGTCCGGTAATACTTGGGATCGTCAGACCATTCTTCGTAGCATCGCAGGGCCATCTCAATTCCCTGCGAGCGTGAGAGGAAGCGAAATCGAGAAGGATCAATCCATGGACAGAATTGAAGTTCATCGTCGGTAAGTTTCCGACGCTTTCCGCGTATGATTCTACTACTTCCTCCAGACTCTGATTCCTGTTCATCAACTTCGGTTTCTTTGCTACGTGCTCTTCCCCTCCTAAATGCTCTTCTAAACATCTCCTCTTCCGGTTCTCGCGACCCGCCACGTTTATCCGTACGTGTCGGTCTTGGACTTCCTCGAAAACTTTCTGATTCTTCCTCGGACCTGATGGAATCGAGGACTTCAAGATAATGTGCGAATCCGCTATCAAAGGATGGGTCTCCTTCACGTGTGGCTTCAGCAAGTACTTGTTGGATGCCCAGCACGGCTTTGGCTTTTGAGATTTTGTCCTTTCTGAAATCGAGGACAACTTTGAGACATCGTTCAACGACTTCGGGATTGAAGGAGGTGCTATGACTTTCCGCGGATTCTCTTTGGGGCGAAGACCGAGTTCGAGAGGAAGATTGTTCATAATCCGACATATATGAGCTTGTAGAAGCGATGTTTATTAAATCTTGACGAGAAAAATATGCTAATGCAATGACGGGCAAGTGAGAAGAGGTCAACACGAGAATACTCCTTGAAGACATACCTAGTGCGATGACGGGCAAGTGAGAAGAGGCGAGGACCTCCTAATTGCCCACACGCACTAGGAAAACAAAATAAAAAACGAATCTCCGCCAGGACAGAGATTGCTCAGCATATGCGTCATGCCGAGAGCGCCCAGAGCGCGTGCCACAATGGCAAAGGGGTAGACCCCGGGTCAGCCCGCACATGGGAAAAACTCGAAAGTATCGACCAATTAGACTTGTGTAAAGACTCGATTAAACTCGATCTTTTGCTGTTTTATTTGCCTAAGAGGAATTTGTCCCCGACTCCCACGTTAGTGGAGGAGGGCTTTGTCGAACGACGAACACTTGGACAGAATCTGAACTTTATTATCATCTGCTGAGTGCTCTACACTTTTCGGCAAAGCGACGGCAGTTCTACATCTGTTTTTTTTTTCGTTTTCACCGCGATAAGGAATTTCCTGAAGCAATTGAATAGGTTGATCCTTGGCTCATTCAATGTCGTCTTCAGCCTGGTCCTTTAATTGTGAGACACTACAGACTTCAAAGCACGTCGATATATATCCTGAACTTGAAGTACGATGACACGTTGCAGTGCATGTCATTTTGAGAACGAGCAGGCCGGAATCAGGAGTCGGGGACTGGTGCGCAAGCACCGTTACGATAATGACAATGTCACTTGCAGCGGGGTGCGAAACCGATCATTGGGATTAACAAACATCATGGGGTGGTCCGAGGTCGACCAGTCACATCTCAGCTTCCTGCGAGACGCTACTTCTTGTTCGGAAATCACACAACTCATTCCATGTCCCTGACTCTTCATAACGCTAAATTTGAAGTCCTCAGGCTCTCCCACACTTTTAAGTTTTGAGTAACAGCTGATGAGTCGGTGCAAAACTCCAAAGCCACCTTGGCTGCTCCTGGCTTCGGAAGCGCCTCAGTTACCATTTTCTTCAAACCCGACGTCATTCCCCTTCTTGACAAGCTTTCGCCAACCACTAAAGCTATCTGGGCTGTAAATACCATGGGCCATACCGGTCATCGAAGGAGGAAACCGCATCCTCCGCGGTGACAACACCGACTGGCTCGGCATTCGTGAATCCATTCGCTCTCGTGCGCTATCTATTGGTGCGCTTGCTGCCGCCCTCGTCATCGGCGCAGGACGAACCGCCAGAGCCGCCATCATTGCGCTTTAGTCCCTGGGGGTTCAACCCACCTACCCGCTCAACCGGACTATAAGCAAGGGGCAGGTGCTCATCGAAGCATTCCTCGACATCCCCATCAAGCTGATCGAGGTGCTTGATGCTTGGCCTGCTGAAGGACCTGCACCAACTGTCATCGTATCCACCGTTCCAGCGACCGTAACAAATACTAATAGTACTAGCCCGGGATCTGTACTTCTTCCGTTGGCGTTGTTTGACGCGACTGTGAACGGCGTGGTTGTGGACATGGCGTGCAAACCTGCAGAAACGCTTCTTAAGCTCGCGAAGAGTGCAGCTCCCAAGTGGGCGAGCGTCATGAAGGTCGAGGTGCTCTTGGAGCATGGTCATGCACAATTTGAAACTTGGACGGGACGCAGATGGGCTTGAGGGATGTCGTGTCGAAGAGTGTGCCTAGGTGGATCTGTGTTTGTTAAGAGGTTTTTTGGTGTATTCCGTACGATCTAGATGCAATTTATCAGCATGCGGTTTGTTTCAAAGTTTCGAATTCTCTGCTACATAGGAAGCAGGGCATTCCTCAATCGTTCGATCTTAATCCAGGGTAGAACAGTCCTGCACCGTACCTCCTCTCGTCTTTTATTCTCTGTTGAGTGTCTGATATGATGCACTTCATGATGAAGAAGGAACCTGTCCTCTTTCTACATGTTCTTGCTAGGGGAGACTAAATAAATTTACATTTCTATCCTATTGAGGTGTTTTGTAGATACCCTCACCCCGATTCATCGCACTCCTTGCCTGTACAAAAGGTACCATGAGTAAATGAGTAAATAGCAGATAAGTTACCCCACCTCCAGGGACGTCGTCGTCGGAGTAAGCGAGGTGTGTCGCAAGTTCCCTGCGCTTCTTGCCTGTACAAAAGGTACCATGAGTAAATGAGTAAATAGCAAATAAGTTACCCCACCTCCAGTGCTTGGGACGTCGTCGTCGTCGTAAGCGATGTGTGACTCAAGTTCCTTGCGCTTCTTGCTCTCTACTAGGAGATCACGTCCAAAGTTCGTGTCAAGCGTGTTTCCCTCGACTGAGTGGTGCATTGTGGCATATGAGTGAATATAATACTGCTGATGATCATGAACACTCACAGGAACGTTTCGAGATGGCTCCAGGCGTGGGTGACGCTGTAGCAAGAATGACGAAAGATATAAGCGCGCTTAGGAGCACAGAAAGTTGCATGGTCAGGGATGTATGAGAGTGATGATTCACACTGAAAATCTGAGGGAATCTTTTATACATTCTCGCAGGGCCGCTCCATTTTAGCCTCCTCCACAAAAGATCGTACACATATCCAGACCGTGGCCAGCTATAGCAGACCTTGGCGAGGAGCTGTCGGGTGTAGTACCGCCACGATACAGCCAACATGGGAATTTAGACCAAGACCCAGTGATCGATGAACAGAATAGAGAAAACAGCCATGACGAGCAATCACTCTAACCACTAAAACACTGCCGCGTTGTCCATGTAATGACAAGTTCTGTGGCGTTCAGCATGATGATCATGCTGAAAAAACCACGAGGGGAAAAACCACGAGGGGATAAGGCTAACCTCGTAAGTACACGGAACGTCCAAATGGATTGCTCAGTTCGGACTGATGCGAATGAGTCCGCCACAGAAACTTCATCGTCATTAGCAAGTAACGTTTGGTAGTTTGTGAGTAGCCGCCACGTCGTAGCTGGGTCATGCATGAATAGAAATTCAAACATAGTGTCATGATTGCCAGCATCTCTTGCAGTCATCAAGTTTCGCCAATCTACAATGGAAGGATGAATCGCGATGGCCAAGGTTAGGTACTTAGGCTTAAGTCTCTATACCGTGTTGTCGAAGCGTCACTGGTGGACGTGTCACATTTGCCAAGGGTCCGACTACAAGGAGGATACTTGGAATGCGTCAGTGAATGATGTTTGAGATTCCTCGGAGCACCAGCATCAGCTACGTAAGATGTAAGAGCTAGTTCGGTAACCCAAGGTAAAGTAAATTTGCCAACTTCAAGGATGATGTAAGGCCGGCACAGTAGGTGCCGATAGCTGAGTTTCAACCTTATGATATCAATATTAGTAGGACTTGTTATCCATCGCGCTCATTGCTTTAGGGATAGATTATGGATACCATTGACCCCTTGCTCCAACAACTCGCTCAAGCCCAGGCTGTTCAGCCGCCAGCTGCAGGCCGTCGGCAGAATCATATGCGAATCCTACGTCACATTGCACTACTCGTCAGTGTCCTTCTGACTGCTACGCACTCATTGCTTCAGGACTCTGTACCTGAGGCATACCACACATCGGCCCTCTCAGGTGAAGAATGGGTCATGGAACTCATCACTGGTCACCCGGATCGTATGCGATGCGAACTTGGCATGCATGCAGATGTCTTTCACGCGCTCATAGCCGAACTTCGTGTTTTGGGTTATGCTAGCTCACGCCACGTTTCGCTCGAAGAGCAACTTGCCATCTTTCTATATACGTGCGTTACAGGGCTAACGATCCGTCATGTCGGGGAGCGTTTTCAACGGTCAAACGACACCATCTCAAAGTAAGTTTGTTTTTAATGTTATTTATGATGAGCTCACAAATAATTCCAGGTATTTCCGGAAGATCTTGTTTATCTTTGCGTCCCCCCCGTTCTACACAACATACGTATGTTCTCCCAACGACACCGATGACATCTCCAGCAACATCCGTAACAATCCAAAATTCTGGCCTTACTTCAAGGACGCTATCGGTGCGATCGACGGCAGCCACATCCATGCTCGCCCCTCATCATCTGATCGCCCCTCGTATCGTAATCGCAAAGGTTTTATTTCTCAAAACTGTCTATTCGCCTGCACCTTCAACCTCAAATTCTCCTACGCTCTCACTGGCTGGGAGGGATCCGCCACAGACGCACGCCTCTATGACGAGGCTCGTTCAGGCAGTTTGTATATCCCTCCCGGCAAATATTTCTTAGCGGATGCGGGATTCCCTTTGTGTGACGAGCTCTTAGTCCCCTACCGCAGTGTCCGTTATCATTTGGCTGAATGGGGACGTGCTAATCTTAGGTATGTTTTATTTATTTTATATTTTAGGTTTTTTAATAACTATTCTATGTTTGCAGACCAACAACCAAAGAAGAGCTCTTCAATCTGCGACACTCATCCGCTCGAAATGTGATTGAGCGGATCTTTGGCGTGTTAAAACGCCGTTTTCGTATTCTGTTGCTCTCACCTGAATATCCTATGACCATCCAGGCACGTATACCTGCTGCGCTATGCGCGATTCACAATTTCATATCGACTCACAACCCTGACGACAACGTGCTCCCGGACGACGACAATGAACACTTCGATTACGACAACCCGGAGCACCAAGGGATCCCCGATGATGAGGAGGAGTTTGACGGAGCGGGAGGCATGAAGGAAGTGCGCAATCGTATTGCGCGCTGCATGTGGGAAGATTATCAGACTGTTTTGCAGCAGCGGGGCCTGCTAGATGACTCCTTTGAAGATTCTGACAATGATATGTAGCACTGTAGCACGACTCTCATGTATCCGCCGCCATCAAAGCACAAGATGTTTGCATTACCATGCTTCAACTACTGCATTATCATCATATGTTGTGTCAATAGCGCATTTTACATGAGTATACTAACTACCAGGCGCAGGAAGTTGAAGTCCCAACCGCTGGGCTGTGGAAAGAATAAAAGCACGGCGCATCTCCTTGTCAGCAGTCTGTGTGTATATGTCAGTAGCTGCAGGGTCCATAGAAAAAACCTGTTGTATTATAAGCCGCTCTGCGAACGGCAACTCTGCATCCTCAACCTGCAACATCTGCATGGCCCTCGAGCGCTGGTCCATTACCCGATCCTCAGGATAGACCATGCGCTCAGCAATTACATCTGTCAAGCGATTGACAGAGCTCTGGAATCCCATCACGGCTACAGCTGTGGTGGCCTTCGATATCTTGGTGTCCAACGTGTTAGTGTTCTTGGTGGAACCGCCCTGAGTCTGTGCATGGCCTCCTGATCCAAGGCCTGATGCGCGGCCTGATACTGTCTTCGCTCTTTTGATAGAGCTCGACTCGGAGGGAGGCGGCATTTGCATTTGAGAAACTGAGGTAGATGCAGATGAGGCGGTCAGCTCCATGTCGGTGTGAGAACGTTTGCCAGGAGGAGGCATGAAGGACGGAGAAGCAGGAGGAGGCATGAAGGACGGAGAAGTAGGAGGAGGCATGAAGGATGGAGAAGCAGGTGTAGAAGTGAGGGCAGCTGCTGCAGGGGCGGTGCTAGGACCAGCAACACCAGCACTAGATGTGGCAATAATGGGACCAATCATGGTATTGTGTTCACCTGCGGGTACGCTAGGACTGGAGCTTGAGCTTAAGGGAGGGGGGAGAGCTATATTGGGTTGGTACCCTGTGCGCCCTCGGGCGCCACTGCCTCGTGGTATTATGCCGTCCATTTGCTCGTAGTGTCTCCATCCCGATGCACGAAAAGGGCGCATGACTGAATTTCCCTATTATCAAACAGTGAGACGCATGAAATAGCATTAGTGAACTTGACGTACCTTCTTGGAAACATATTCATTCCATACTGAGGTTGAAGCCTCACCCTCGACATTTGCCCCTCTAATATTGTCCCAGTGGACACCAGACTGCTGGCGATACTTCTGAATAGCATTGAAAGTCTGCTTTAACTACACAATCTATTATCAAGTCTATAAATAAATTATATATTGATAGGACTTACTGACGCCCATTTTGTCTTACACATTGCCCCACTCTTCGCTGGACCATGCTCCAGGTACTCAGCAATAGCCTCTGCAGCGCCATTGTACGTCACATCTTTGAAGTTGCCAGCATCACCGATCTTGTCCCGATTGTTGGATAGGTAGAGGAGAAACTGATCAACCTCTGTGTCGGTCCAAACAGCCCTCTCTGTAGTAGTATGAGATGACTCCTGAGCCATGGAGAGGATGTGGACTTGAGCTGATAACACTATCGATATGACACTAGCCCAGATGTTGTTCCGATTGCATAGATCTTGAGTCGTATGCTGGGGTGTGTGATAGCTAGACATGGGATCAAAGGAAGTTCAAGCTCCGATGTCGGTCTCCAAACCGGAAGCTACTGTGCCGACCTTACATCATCCTTGAAGTTGGCAAATTTACTTTACCTTGGGTTACCGAACTAGCTCTAAGTTTGTTGGCGGCCAGGTCAAACAATGTGTTTATGTAATAATAAACGATTTTCAGCTTGGTATTATTTCCGCACGTAATTAATTTACAGAATCTTAGAAATGATGAATTCAACGGCTCAAGTTGGAAATGCTAGACGTGTTTGATTTACCAGCTGGACATTTGCGACATCTGCAGTCACATTCGTGATTACTGTCATAGTATATCTCGATGAGCTGACGAGGCACTTCTAGCTATATGTAATACCTGGGTTAAGGGCCATCAGTAGCGTCACGTCAGCCAATTTATCATCGTTCAAACGTTCAAACGTTCATCGTTCATAAAGTTACCACTTTATTACGCAGGCAAGGCCTTGAGGCACGAACGGAGGAAGTCGAAGTCTTTGAGTGAACATCAAACGTAGCTTTCGCACCTCTTGTTCATCTGCTACGACGAGTCACGACTGTCCACCTTACCTTCCTATTATCCCTGTCTCATCGCACGGCGGCACAATTCAGCGCCTCGCCGTCGTCCATAAATAACGAATACAAACATATCTTTTGGGCCCTGAAGGGATAAATTAGGCAGGATAATGACAGCGAGGCGGCCCCTCCCGTCCCCGCAGCCGACCTTCTCCTCTTCCTAGGCTGAAACCCCATCGAGGTCTGGAAGTGACAGCCATTCGCGGGGGAGACTACATCAAAGTGCGACTTGAACGCGGCGTATCGTTCAGCTCGCCGTGAATGCAGGTGCCCTGCATGCTCCTGCATGTGTGTATTTCCTTTTCAGCTACTCACGCAGTGGAACGAGTGCCCTGAAATTACACAAACGAGGAGTGTCATCAGTTCCTTTGCAAGCCCTGGTAATATTTACGCAAGTAGGTTCTCATTCTGCTTTGCAAAATGTTTAAGGCCACATTCCATCCATCACATCGTGATCTACTCGAGAACCATCATCGGGTGAGAATTTATTGAGAACACCAGGGTAGCAGGCAATGGCGCAGATCAGCGACAACCATTGGGTTTAGTGGCTTTGGGAAATAGGATGATCCGGGAGCAACTTAGCAAGTGTCTACTAGGAAGCATCTCTGCTGCATCATCCTTGTCCTTTGGCCTAGATATACAAGCTTTTCTGACGTTCTGTATCATATAAATCTATATCCAGCTCGTTTCATAAACTCTCAATGCGACAGTTCTTCCAAGATACCAATAATCACCCTCCTTTCATGGTATTCCTGAACAAGTGGGGTGAGCAAGCAGGCGAGCAGTGTGATATTCTTCATGCGTCACGAGGTGGTTTGGGGAGGTCAATCGTATCCTCGAAGCGAATCAACTTGGATTCATCGATGTGAA